CGATATGCGCATCTCCTCTTTGTATTGAAGGTTCCCATAAAGTTTCTTTGAATTCCAGCCAGTAGTAGCAGAGAAGTAGCGTGGAAACAATTTTTACTCTATATGCATAATGCATAACTAGTCAAAGGCCATAACTCTGAGATAAAGGGTCTGACTGAAACAAGCCGACGATATGCTCATCTCTTGATATTGATGATTCCCATAAAGTTTCGTTGAATTCCAGCCAGTAGTTGCAGAGAACTAGTCAGGAAACGAAATTCGGACGGACGGACAACGCCAAAACAATATCCCCCTCCTGATTCCATGGGCGGGGGATAATTAAGTATATAAGCATTTTGCACGTACAAAAAAACACCATCAAAATAAATAGTTACCTCTGTCGGTAAATATTGGGGGCAAAAAGCAACAATACAATCAAATATCCTCCCTCCAAAACTAAATACTATTCTTAGCAAGAACTTAACAACAAGCTAACACTTTATGTCAAGCAATACTTCTGTTGGTTTCAATAACAAACCCTTGTATGGCAATGTCATCCAAACCAGTAATTACAAAATTATATATACATTTTCAAAATAGCAAATGTTAATTTCAATGTATACACACTTACAAATGATGTACTTAAATGACTTTGCAACCTGACTTGTAAAAATACTAATTTTTGATTCAGCATCTCTGGGAAGGCTATTCTCTTTGAAGTTACTGTGTATTTGGGTTATTTCCTGAGATTTTGAACATGATTATACAGGTATGATATAAATATATTCATTATAAACCAATCATTTAATGTCAAGTTTAATCTAATAAGTACTCGCAAATTAACTACCAGTATTGATATTAAGCATCCACAAACCTTTACACAAAGCTTTAAAATCTATAACTTAAATGAAAATTTCCGACCTCTGTATATATTCTAACATCAAATTTCCCATAAATGTGCATGTAACCATACTATGTAATGACACATTGATTTGATAACATACGGTAATGTCACAATCCTATACAAGCATTATTCTGAAGCATTATATATTTAACTTACAATGTTAAGTCTTAATAATAATTTATGTTTAGCATCCACTTAACTTGATAAAAAGCATAGAAAATTAAACCTTTTTAAGTTCAATAACTATATATCCCTGAGAATTTGTAGGTTACTCTCCCATTTGATAATACATTAATGGTATGACACATAATCAACATTTTTAAATATGAGGGCTGTCCGGAAAGTTCGTAGACAAGGCTATAAAATTATTATAAACAGTCATATCAATATGATGATTGAATATTTTGCTAAAGTATTTATTTGCTAAATATTTCTAAATTAAAAGACATGATAAAATAAATATATGTAAAGCGCCGATCACTATGGCAACATGATCAACGAATCACGGAGCACTTTGATTTCAAAACGATAGCTACTCGAATAATAAGTTGCTAAAAGTTATAATTTTAACGCAAACTCTCCTTTTAATTTTGTGACATCATAGGATACTATATATAAATGCTATTTAGTGTAAATTATGACATTATATGTAAATAAACAGCTTGTAAAAGACGGTTATAGGCAATGAAGGTGCGTAATTTTTTTGTTGCAAAAATGACGTCAAATTCACGGACAGAGCAACGTCATGTTATTTAACTTCATAGCAACGCTAATGTGGCGCCAACTGAGATTTTAATCATTACTTTTAAAAACAAAATCAACCATAAAATGTTAAAGGCAACTTGTATTTAAATGTCAAACTAGATTAAGAAGCGGTGATGACAGGATGTCGTATAAGAAACGCTCCAGATGACCAAAAGTAGCATGGCCGAAATATCGTAGATTGCGTTACAATTTTTGAAAAAGGCAGACATCTCACACGCTGTATGGGAACCAGTGACATCTTTGTTTTTAAATAATAATTTTAAATATGGAATTCATGAAGTAATAGCAAACGAACATTACATGTATTAAGTATACGCCAGACAGGTACCATGGCTATTGAAATCGGAAGCAAGTGAATAGTCGGTAAACATGAAGTTATTTTGACGCCATTTGCGCTGTCAAAGTGCTCCATGACGATGTATATATGTTGTATGTAAAAACTGTTAAAATACAAACGTAAGTCACAGTTCAATAATCTTTGATAAATGTGTTTGCTAGATATGTATATTTATCCTGACAAAATTTGTACAGCGTATGTATTGTTATACAATAAACAAGAGGGCCATGATGGCCCTAGATCGCTCACCTGACTTATCAAACTCATCCAAACAATTACCTAGACAAGCATTCTGACCAAGTCTCATGACAGGTGAGTCAAAAATGTGACCACTACAGTGTTAACAAGGATTATCCATATTTGAGCAGTGCGACCTAGTTTTTTACCCAGGTGACACATATTCAAACTTGACCTAGAAATCATCAAAACAAACTTTCAGACCAATTTCCAGTATACTTGGATCAAAACAGTAGCAACTAGAGTGTTAACAAGATTTTTCTATTTTTAGCTCCGGTGACCTAGTTTCACATGCGATTTCCAACTCACCCAAGCAATTACCTTGACAAGCATCCTGACCAAGTTTGATGATAATTGAGTCGAAAATGTGACCACTAGAATGTTAACAAGGTTTTTCCATATTTGGGCGGTGTGACCTAGTTTTTCATCCAAGATGACCCATGTTCGAACTTGACTTAGAAATCATCAAAACAAACTTCAGACCAATTAACAGAATATTTGGATCACAACAGTAGCCACTAGAGTGTTAACAAGATTTTTGTATTTTTAGCTCCTGTGACCTAGTTTTCATCCGAGATGACCCATGTTCGATTTATTCCCAGCAATGACCTAGACAAGTTTCCTGACCAAGTTTGATGACAATTGAGTCAAAATTGTGACCACTAGAGTGTTAACAAGGTTTTTCTATTTTTAGCTCCTGTGACCTAGTTTTTCATCCGAGATGACCCATGTTCGAACTCATTCGAGCTATCACCTAGACAAGCACTTTGATCAAGTTTGATGATGATTGATGCAAAAATGTGACCGCTAGAGTGTTAACAAGGTTTTTCTATTTTTAGCTCCGGTGACCTACTTTTTCATCCGAGATGACCCATGTTCGAACTCATCCGAGCTATCACCTAGACAAACATCCTGACCAAGTTTGATGATGATTGAGGCGAAAATGTGACCTCTAGAGTGTTAACAAGGTTTTTCTATTTTTAGCTCTTGTGACCTAGTTTCTCATCCGAGATGACCCATGTTCAAACTCATCCAAGATATCAACTAGATAAGCATCCTGACCAAGTTTGATGATGATTGAGGCAAAAATGCGACCGCTAGAGTGTTAACAACTAAATGTGAACGGACGACGGACAATCATCGATCCTAAAAGCTCACCCTGAGCATGCTCAGGTGAGCTAAAAATAAAGATTTATATGAACTTTCCGGACATCCTTCGTACTAGATATTAACTCTAAAATGTCTGGTTTGGTATGAGTTAATAATCCAGGCATCGATAAATATTTTCAGCGTCACTCGTCTTGCTGGACGAGTAGCTTCTAAATCCAATGTGCAGGCAACAATTTTCTACTTATCCTTTTTTTTGATCTCTGTCATCTATTATTGATGCCAAACTTCTGCTTTCCATGACTTAAAGCTTTGAAGTTTTCATATATCCCTGAGAATTTGCATCATAATCTATAATGTAAGGATAAATCTATAGAATAACATATAATAAGACATATTGTACCCCATAATGTAATGACAAATCTATGGAATGACATAAAATAAGACATATTGTACCCCATAATGTAATGACAAATCTATGGAATGACATATAATTAGATGATATTGTACCCCATAATGTAATGACAAATCTACGGAATGACATATAATATTATATATTGTGCTCTAGCATGTAATTGCAAATCTATGGAATGACATATAATTAGACATATTGTGCAACCCTACTATGTAAGGACAAATCTATTGAATAACATAAAATCACACATTGTACCCAATAATGTAATGACAAAATTATGGAATGACTTATAATATTATGTATTGCGTCCTAACATATAATGAGAAATCTATGGAATGATATTTAATATTACATATTGTTCCCTAGCATGCAATGACAAACCTATGGAATGACATATAATAAGAGGTATTGTGCCCAATAATGTAACAACAAATCTATGGAATGACATGTAATATTATGTAGAGCCCTAGCCTGCAATGACAAATCTATGGAATGACAAATAATAAGACGTACTATGCCCAATAATGTAACAATGACATACAATATTACTGTTTGCAACATAGCATATAATGACAAATCTATGGAATGACATATAATATTATGTATTGGCAAAGCATGTAATGACAAATCTATGGAATGATATACAATATTATGTATTGTGCCCTAGCATGTAATGACAAATCTATGGAATGATATACAATATTATGTATTGTGCCTAAGCATGTAATGACAAATCTATGGAATGATATACAATATTATGTATTGTGCCTAAGCATGTAATGACAAATCTATGGAATGATATACAATATTATGTATTGTGCCCTAGCATGTAATGACAAATCTATGGAATGATATATAATATTATGTATTGTGCCTAAGCATGTAATGAACAAATCTATGGAATGATATACAATATTATGTATTGTGCCCTAGCATGTAATGACAAATCTATGGAATGATATACAATATTATGTATTGTGCCCTAGCATGTAATGACAAATCTATGGAATGATATATAATATTATGTATTGTAGGCCTAAGCATGTAATGACAAATCTATGGAATGATATACAGTATTATGTATTGTGCCTAAGCATGTAATGACAAATCTATGGAATGATATACAATATTATGTATTGTGCCCTAGCATGTAATGACAAATCTATGGAATGATATATAATAACACTTATTGTGCCCTAGCATGTAATGACAAATCTATGGAATGATATATAATAACACTTATTGTGCCCTATAGTGTAACAACAAATCCATGGAATGGCATTGAATGTCGAGAGTTAGAAAAACTAGTTTGAGCAATTTAATAAAATGCACCATCAATTTTTATTATGGCTTAACTATTCAAATCAAGTATTAACAACTTGATAAAATGTTTCAAACTACCACCACATTTAAATTTGACAGTAAATTTGAACCTTTTGTATATTTGTAGCATATTTATCCCAAATATCTAACCCTTAAATAACCTGTTTTAAAAATTATGTACCATATTTTTTCTGTACATATAGCAAATGTATTACAACTAAGATACAGTTATTAAGACATATAAATGTATTTTGCCAATTAAGACGTTTTTTTAGACATGATTATATCCACTGAAAATTACATCTTATATATATATATGTTTTACACTTACATTTTATATCAATTTCTAAATAATTGAATACAAAAATAAGATAAACCAACATTAAAGTGAACATATTAAATGATTAATCTTATAGTTTCCACAACTGATATAAAGTTTGTTCCATAAGCACTTAATATAGATTCTTCGGATACTACACAAATATCACATAAAATATAGATTATATTACAACATATACCTTAACAGCACTATAGATTTAAACGACAGCACATATTTAATGAGTAAATTTGATACCTATGATTACAATCTTTTAAATTTGAATATCATGTTTATTTGTAGTGCAAATATATTATTCATTTTCAAAATTGTTCAAGACAAATTTTAATTTTTTTAAATCATACATTTATAAAATTAAAACCATGCTGTTTACATAAAATGTTTGATGAACTTGGTATCAAGTTTTTAATCAGTTCTTTTCATTTTTATTTTAAGCGTGCAAAATTTAATATTTGTAGGGAATTACTGCTTTTTATTTTAAGTTTTTGAAGTGTTTCATACAATTTCAAGATTTGCTTCTCATTTTTATTTCATTTTTTACTATTTTTAACTAATAGGGACATTACTGCTTTTTGTTTCAAGTTTCTACATAAAAACTTCAACAAAAGCTAGCATGTACAAAATTTGATTAATTTATGTAGAGCTACATTCTTAAGTATTTCTTGAAAAGCCTTTACTGAAGTTGACATCACCCTTCTTTCTAAAATCAACATTTAATGTAAGGTCTGAACTGATGATGATGATGCCAACCTTCTACTTATAGATCATATTAAGTGTTTACAAAAATTTCAACCAAAATTGAGCATTTCATGTAAGTCTTTATGATATTGAGATCATGCTTCAACCTGAATAGAACGTTTCATGTAAATTGTAAATGTTTTTATTGAGATCATGTTTCAACCTAAATAGAACTTTTCATGTAAATCTTTCTGATATTGAGATCATGCTTCAACCTGAATAGAGCATTTCATGTAAATGTTTATATTGAGATCATGTTTCAACCTAAATAGAACGTTTCATGTAAAGTCTTCTTAAATCTGCATGTCAAACTTCTACCTAAAATATACGAGTTTATGGAAATCTCTTACATAATCCCTATGTCTATCTTCTACCAAAAATTAAGTATTTCATTCATTTTTTTTATAATGACTATGTAAATTTTATAATTAAAGTTTTAAAAAGCATTTCATGCAAGTATCTTACAATGTTGAGGTCAAAATTCTACCTAAAATTAACTATTCCGTGGATATCTCTTACATAATCTTAATGTATAGCTTCTACCTAAAATTGAGTATTTCATGTAAATATCTTTTACGATGATTATGTAAATGTGAGCATTTCATGTAAATCTCATATAACTTTGTCATAAACTGAGAATTGATAGTGGAAGTCCTTACATCAGGTACTACAAAGTTCCTATTTAAATTGAATATCTTCAGTAAATTCTTTGTTGAATTGATATCAAGTTCTTTCAATCATCAGATTCTGTAGATGAGTCGATTTCCTGTGTTTCGTTTTGTCTAGACTGACAAACTGGGCACTTTAATGTAAGACTGTCACCAGCAAAATAACATATTTTACATCTCTGAAACAAATAGTATGAATCATTTTAATGTTATTATCAAAATAAATCTTAAGTGTAAAAAATATAGCATTAATATGTCATAAAGAAAACTTTCATGCCTTAAATTTAGTAGCATAAGCTAACTTGGTGTTTGAAATTCTTTTTCATCCAATAGGATTGCAGTATTTCAAATGAATCGTGACACATTTACTTTGGTAAATCGGCTGTTTGTTTGTTTGTTTATTTGGGTTTTACGTCACACTGACACAGTATAGGTCATTTGGCGACGTTCCAGCTTTACTGGTGGAGGAAGACCTCAGGTGCCCCTTCCGTGCATTATTTCAGGCTTAATGAACAGCACCTGAGTACGAACAGGGTGTTAAGTTTAAGTATTAATCTAATTAATTATTCGCCCATAGCTGCTCAATTTCATTACTTTCACATAGAGTAACCTGAAACTTTACAGCAGACGGTTCCAAATTCTAAGCAGGAAGAGTCCATTCCTCAAATTCAGGGGGTGTAATGTTTCAGCAACAACTTAATTCAAACAAGACAATAACTCTGAATTGAGAAGTTCCCTGAATAGAAATGAAAACAAAATTATCAAGTGTAAACCATTAGACATTTGGATAAGTAATAATATTGTTACCTGACAGTGTTTGTTGCGGGAGTCTGTACATTTTGCACACTTGACACAATGATTTCTTGGAGTAATGTCTTCATTCAGCAGACGGGCTGCATGATATTTATATGTAAATACATGTATGTAATTGTTAATTAAATAGAATAATTCATAGGAATATCTGTATATAATTTTACTACTTTAAAGTAAAGAAAACAATTAGCTGAAAATTGCACATGCAATCCTTCAAAGTATCTTTTGGATATAACAAATTATGAGTCAAATTTATTGCTTATGAACAAATATATGTGGTTTGGAAATCTAAATGGGAAAACAATAGATTACAAGGCAGTCTGAAGGCAAAAAAACCCTTCCCAGGAATTGAATGTGTATTTTTACCTTTTCCCAACCGCCCTTGTTTTTGTACCATGAATATACACAAAAGTTCACAAAGGGTGATTATTTGTCCCCAATTTTTTAAAAATTTTTCATAAAAAAATAAGTTTGGAGAAAAAAACCTTGCCTTATTTAAAAAGTTTGGGGGGGACATGAAATTAACTTTTAAATTTGTTTAATTGCCTTTGATCAATTATTGGCTCGCACTTTCTTTATTTCATTTAAAAATTTTTTAAAATTTCCAGGTTAAAATTTTATGGAGCGCACAAATGTAACTTTTTTTAAAATTTTTGTGAAAATGTGCCCTTGCCTTTTTGGGAATAGCCCCCAATTATTGTTTCTGAAATTTCTTTCTCATTATATGACCTTGTGCAAAATTTTTTAAAAATTTTCACGTTAAAGTAAGGGTGCAAAAATGTATTTTTTATAAATGAGTTTTTAAATTTACTTTACCTTGGGGTAGAACCCCAATTCTTCGCTTGAAAATCGTCCCTATGGTGATCACTTTAAAGTTATTTAAAAAAACTTTTCCTTTAAAATATGGAGCAGACCGAAATGTAGACTTTTATATAAAATGAAGATTTTTTTAAAGTGCCCTTTTATTGTGATTTCCCGGGGGTGAACCCAAATTCTTGGCTCTGCAATGTCTCATAGGTTTTTCTTGTGCCAATTTTTAAAAAACTTTTCAGTGTTTTAAAAGTTTGGGAGGGACAAAGTGTTAGGGCAGAAAAAAGCTGGACTGACAAAAAGGGGCCATTCTATAAAATCCCCTTTCTACACGGAAAGGGATTAATAAAAGTGTGTGGACACGGATGCCCCAACATTTCACTGTTTTGCCAGAAAAACAGCATGACTGGTTGACTAGGTAAAATCTATTTTCCTTCTTTCAGTGAGAGCATTAAACTATCTTATATAGAAGAGCATAAAAGAAAAACATCTCACTAGTATACCTGTACACCATGAGTATTTGTATCTTGCAGTACAGTTATGATTGGCACATTTGATCTCGCCTGGTATACAACTGAACAACAACACAGGTATATGACAACACTCCAGTACCAGCTGTGTCTTCACATAACAGTCTAATCTCTTTATCTGCAGATAAACATGATATATTTTAGTTCAACACCACAGTTTTAACTTTATGCTATTAATATGATTTTAGGGAGTTGGATTTTACATTGCACCAAAACTGTAAAGGTCATAATTATGGTGACTTTCCTGCTTTACTGTTAAGGAAAACCTCAGGTGCTTCATTATTTCAGGCAAAAACAGGCACCTGAGAAAAACCATCAATTTTCCACAAACTACCTAGAAAGCTTCCTATCATAATAGAATCTAAGTCCCTGATGGAAATCAAACCCACAGTGGTGAGGAGGCAAGTATTTCAAACTCAACAACCTTTACCATCCTTTGCCCTGTAAATAAGATTAATTACCTTCAGACTTAAAGAAAAGCTAACAACTAGACTAAACTATCATTAGATGGTCAAGACATACCAGTACCATGAAACATAATTTTGACCATGAAAAACTCAACTCTTTTTCATGGCATTTCTTCATGAATGCTGTTTACTATTTTGGTTCGCTTTCAAAACCGAAAGAGTAAGGGTCACATATGGTCTTCACAACTTTACTAGTGAATGAAAATCTCTTTTGTCTTTCCATGCATTATTTCAATGAACAAGTTTTCAATTAACTTGAAAATTTTATAAACATTTAGTTAATCAAGAAGCTATACCTGATAAATATTTTCCATGAGACAAGGATCTGTCCGCGCCCGGTCGGCAGTAAGTCCCAACTGATGTAATATGTTGAGTGGGTTCCTACAGTTAACACACTCACACAACCCCTCTGTACATGTTGTCCCCTTCACACAACATTGACATGTACCAGCAGAGCAACCATTTGTACATGAACAACTGACAATCACAGATACCTCCACATTCTTCTCTGGTTGATAAACAGCACCTAAAATACATGAATGAAGCCTTCTATGGTTGATGAACAGCAGTTAAAAAAAAAAAATAATAAAAAAAACCTTCTGTGGTTGCAAAAACATGAAAACAGCATACTTTCTAACACTGTTTCTTAATTCAGCACAACTTTTCCTTTAAACTTCCATATGTGTCACAAAGAACAATCAATAATATTTTTTTATGTAGCTGATTGTTAAAGTTGTATGTCCATAGACTTAGGTCCATATAACATTCTTACATCATATACCCTTACTAATGTACATGCATTCTTTACTTGGAAATGCCAGATCTTCTATTACAGTAAACTATTGTTTATTACGAGTAGATATGTGGAAAAAAGGCATATTGTTTTGGATTGAGGTGAACAGTACCTGTATTATTGTTATTTATATTCTCTGTTGGTAAACATATGCTGGGATCCAGCAAGTGACTGGTAATCTGATTGGTTCCCGACTTCAAGGATTTCCCAGTATCTTCAATCAATGGTAAACAGAACATTATTTCAAACCTGTTGTCAAAATCCTTCAGTTCTGCCTTCAGACGATCAGCACAATTATTCTTAAACTGCACCTGTAACAAGTTACAAAACTATTTAACACTTACTAAATTTCTTACATGGACTTGTCAAGCTTCCATTTTTGGAACTGTCCATTATCAATTTTTGGAGAAACCGTATAAGTACTTTTTTCTGCGGGAACTTTATTTCTGCTATTTCTGCTGTTGATAACGACACCGCAGATTTAAAAACCAAAAATTTCAATACTGATACAGTAGACCTTTAAAATAAATCACTAAGATATGGGACAACAAACTCATGGAGGCAGAATAAAAAAATTGCTTACAATCAACATGGAGCATACATGCATGTCACTTTACATCGGAAATATTTAAATATTTCATGTCCTTTGATATACATGTATTCCATACTAACTAATAGGCAATCACAACAGCTTCTGTCACCTCTAAGAAGTTACAAAACCTCTATAATTATGCTACAATGGCATTAGCAAATAAACCCTTACATAATGGTAAGGTGAATTGAATAATTCTCCTTTCGTAATATCCATATTTAGCTTCCTGTTGTACACCGTGGCATTGTTAAACTTTTGATTCATGTTCTTCTCTGGTCCTTTCTTTCCTAAACAAATCTTTGGGGCCTCCTTCACTTCCACTCTCATATCTGAAATATAAAATGCATTATTATAACTGCATTAATAAAATTATACATACTATCATAGTATAGATTGTAGAAGAATTGACAAAATTACATGACAAAACAAATAAAACAATAAGCAATAATGTTAATACTGAATGTGAGTCGGATTATGTTGGAAGCTATAAGCTTATTTAAACACTCGCCTATCCGTTCTTGGAATTAACCAGTACTTAGCAATGAGTGTAAGGTGTGCCTCTTGACAGGGTTTGACCCCATGCGGCCAGCAATCCTTAGATAACTAGTCTACTCTGCCAAGCTGCCACACTTAACCTGCCTTCATTCCATTAGCAAGGTCAATGCTCCTAACACTTAACATATTAACCCTTAGCGTGCTGGCTGCAATTGAAACCCATACAACCAGTGCAAACAAAGTTCACCTAGCACATATATATGTGATATCTGATCATGGTCTGCATTTGTTTACAATTCAGTCAGTACTTTTATGAAAATTTCCCTAAAATCATGAATAGCCTAATCCAGATAGAAAGATGGACAAATCTATTTTAAGATATTTAGGGTGTTAAGGGTGTATTGAAAATGTTACCTCTTTCATACAACCACAAGCTAATGATGCTCCAGAATGGTACAGAAATCTCCACCATGTCTTTACAAACACCGGCAGACCCATCTGGGTTCTCTAACTGGAACTCATACACCATCAACCTGTCAAATTTACAATAAAAAACTTCAATGTTGTCTAGATAAACATCTAGCATCAGCAGACACTGTAAATCCCCTTGATCAAAACACAAGATCATAGCATGTGTTGTTAACGCTTATCTATTTCAAATTCTAAGTTAAAAAGGGTCATAACTCCAAAAATATTGCTTTCAGAATTATTCCTCTAGACTAACAACTAGACCATATCAAGATAAACAAGTATATCAAGTGTCACCTTGAAAACTTTTTAAACATTATGAATTTGCAAACCTGAGTTGTCTTATCTTTCTAAAATTTCATAATCAGCAAAAGTTTCACACCAACTACTCCGAGTGAATGACTCAAAGTTGTAAACCAATATAAAATCATTAAATATATTCATACGTATATAAAACAAAATATTTTAAGTGCCTATACTAAAATTCTACAATTCAGTTTTTTACAATTTCAGTCGGCCTCAGGGTAACTAAAACTCCTGGAAATAATTGAAATATACAAACTTTTTACTGAAGAGAAACTTGACTCTGGCCACCCTATCACTGCAACTGGAACCACAGGAATACTGAAATAAAAAGATTTAAAATCTAAACAATTTTCCTACACTTCTTTTCCTAAACATTTCATCCAATCTTTAAGCATTTATCATTCTTTCATTGACTCATCTGATAATTATTTTCATGTTTTATATTTTGGTATTTTTAATCCTATAAACTTTGAATGAACTGCTCCAAACTCCAAGCAGCCAACTTTCACAATTAAAGTCAAATCAAATCTCACTTGAGTATTTCAAGTACGATACCACACTGCACCTGGAGATGATCATAATCATCAATGATTATTACTTACTTTCAAGATTTTATATGAATTGTTACTTATTGATACTGTAACTTGCCATCTGTATCAATTAAATACCCAATTACTTTAGACCGAGTAATTGAGATAAATTGAGTACATTCCATGTTAAAGTCGGAATCCCTTAACTCAGACCACCCTGATTAAGGACAACCCCCTTAATAAGACTATTTTTACAAGTAGTCTTATGTATATGTTTTGTTTCATGCATAACTCCTGATGGATGCCTGCGCCTCAACGTAACCCAAGAACAGGTTCCAATTTCCAAGTAAATAGACAGTTTTATTTAGAGCTCTAATATAAAGTTTATTTAAGATATTAAACTATAATTCTTTTATCTATCAACTTGCAACAGCAACCAGAGTAATTACGTTTTGGACAGGAGCACATAAAAATAGCTTGTACGGTGAACCAAAATTCTAACCTTATATTAAAATATCCACATGTCCATGCTGTGAGTCCGAGTTGAATGTATATCTTGCTGCAGTTTTAGATGTGGAATACCATTGATTCAGCTAGTCCGATGTTCATTCACATCGGTATAAGGCAGCCATCCTAATTTGAAAAAATGTTGAGTTAGCAAAAGCACCAGGCAGCGTCATGTCCTGTACAGCATTGTTTTAGTTGCCCTATAAGCCTATAAGCCACCTCTCAAGTCAGTTCCTCAAAAACACAACTAATATACTAAGCACAAAGTGTAATTTTCTGTGCACTCACAGGATCTAGTATTGGCACCTAGCCAGGATTTGAACTCACCTGACCTGCAAGCTTTTAATTACTGCCCATTAAACCATAACCACTCCTGCCATCATTTATTTTCCTTAATTTTTGAATTATGTTAAACAACCTTTAAGTTATCATCAACTATGTTGTATACACAATTTTCACTAATTAATATCAACTGTTTGTTTAAGCATTTTCGAAGTTCGTCTTGTTTTGAGAACAACCTTGATAATCACCATTTCTAGTGAGTGAGGCGGAAAATGCCTTTGGCTTGAATACCCTCTTCTTGCGAATCTGCGACCTGATGCACATTTTTCTATCTATGCACAGCCGCTGCTATTTATATAGACGTTCCTGTAAAATAAGCATAAGAATCGATTTAAAATTCCAAATGAGCCGCGTCATGAACAAAACCACATAACTGTTTTGCGCACCAGCATGATCCAGACAGCCTCCGCAGGTGGTCGCTTCTCCTGCCTGGTGACGCAAATGCACCATGTTGTTTGTCATGACGCGGCTCATTTTAAAGTTGTAGGTTTAACATGGTTTTCGTTCAAGGCATTTAGATATGACACATTTTTATTTTATTATTACCATAATTTAACTTAGGAAAATTGAAATTTGTGAAAATTTTCACATGGGTTATTGTAAGATCAATTGTTGTTGAATCAGCCTCATTGCTTTGAATAGATTTGTCTAAAGCTTTACCCTGTTTGATTATAAATATTAAACAAAGTAACTTCCAAACTGGTTTTCAATAATCCCAAGTCATTTGTTAGCTCTATCTAATTAGAGGTGCATACAAATATTTTACCATCTTTTCTTCAATTTTACAACATTTGCAGGTGCGCTTTTTTCTTATTACATGTTACGACACAACAAACTCAACTACAATGGGAACACAAATTACCTTTCCACATTTTTACTAAATCTAAAAGAATAGATTAATGCCACTTTGGCTCGTTCCGTAGAAACAATGTTTTAAGCATTTACAAAAACTGTTTTCTGCTTTTCCATTACATGTTTTGTTGGTCAATTTTCAAATACAAAATCTAATTCTATGATCAAATTTTGCGGAAACACAATTTCATTTCACACTTAACTAAAAAACTTATCAAGAACACTTACAGATGATTCGGGTTTTAAAATTAATACAAGTAAATCTATACACAGAGTATGAATCAAATGAAAATGCATACTTCAAGAATACTTTGATTGTCAAAAGACACTTTATGTATCAAATCTCACCAGTGCCAGTAACGATGATTGCTATATAATATTTTAAAGTTACCTGTAGTGCACTAAGTTCCAATAAATATTAATTTTGTGCAAAAATGAACTGTTTTCTGAAGTCACATTAAGTTTGACTAAAAGATACTAACATAATAAATCTAATATAGGCTACAAAATGTAGCTTACAACTTGCTGTTAGCTGAAGTTATGCTATGCCTTGATATGGACATCATCTATGTATCTACGCTGAACTACTCCTTCAGTTAGTACACAGCTGTCTTTGTTCCTGGCATGCTTGCCGATTTCCTCACCGCGTCCCTGTCCACTTGCCGGCGACTTTCTCTCATGAGGAAGAATTTTGACTTGTTCAAATTTTCTCGGTTTGCAGTTTTGTTCTGTACAGGTTTTGAAGACACTACTTGACCTTGTAGACTCCGAATAGTGTCTAGTATTAAATTGTGAATGTACTGCTTGCAGTGTTGGGTTGTGTTTATATCTGAAGAAGTACTATATTGGACTGGTACCTTGCCGCCGTATCCAATTGGCACACCAAAATTGTTACACCTGAATTATCATTTAAATCGTAATATGTTTTAGTACTACTTACTTAGTTTTGCTCTTTATAAATAAAAGGACTTCGGTAAAGAAAGCACCGCTACAGTGTCATCCACATCAGTTGTATCCAACAAGTGTTATTCATCACTGATCGCTAGTGCCATCCTAGAGGAACATGGAAGAAATAACAATTCATTATGCCCTATTGATTCCTATTTAACTTTTGACTCTCACTTAATCCTTTATATTACATTTGATTTCCTTTTCAATATTAGTGCAACGCAGACCCAATACCAGCTGAAACGCAAACATTTTCATTCTTATACTTTATGGGAAATCTTATTATAATCCGAGACAACCATATCGTTGTTCAACATTACAAAGAAAATAGCTAGAGCATTATCACTTAATGAAGACATTAAAAACTCCTCCCTATATAATCACGTTCACAAGTTCCCTGGTTCTCATCACAGCAGTAGCAACGGTCTATCGGCAACTTATTGCGTGCAGCTACAGGTGCATTGGTATACTGTTAACGATTCATGTCGGAAGCATTTCCAGGCACACTTACTAACGGGGTTGCATAATTGCATTACTATTGTAGTAGCTAAGCTCTGTAAATGATTGACTATTGAGCTGTAGAAGATTAGAGTACTAATACTTGTTGCGTTCACAGTAAATTGTTTGTGCTGAGTCAATGCGCGAAAACACTGGCTGTATTTCTTGACCACTTGCAATCTCGCTGTGCCTTCAATTTCTGTCTGTAGAGTATACTTTTCACTCACTGTACTGACTGAATTGGTCTTATTCCATGCTTCCAATGAAGCCAGCAAAAATCGGTTCATGCTATGGAACTAACATGGCTCCACTGTAGGCAAGAGTTGGGGCTTGTAATGCATTCAGCACGGCCGATACAGGAATAGGTGGTTCACAGTATGGCCGAATATTTTGCGGCACTGTAGTTAATGGCTTTGCTGCTTTCTTTATATCTTTCTTCTGCTCTCTTTTACTTAGATCTAAGCTAGGTTTGCAGAAAGATGAATGGGGAGTTACACTTTTTTTCCCTTCATGTAAGACTCTGAAAAAAATTGACTTGTATTTTGGAAGATATGACCGCGACTGTCAGGGATAAACAGGATCCCCTAACTTCACATTTGGCGAATCTCATCTTCATCCAGGGTCTACAAAGTAAATCAGTTGTTGAATCTGCTCCATTGCTATGAATAGAATTTATCTTAAAGCTTTCCCTGTTTGACGATGTGTTTCTGCGGGTGGCAATTTCTGCTACCTCAACTGCGTTTGATTTTCAATGCGATCGTTCCAATGGACTTGACTATACATTTTCTGCAATCCTGATCATTGCCGTCTGACAATATAACATTCCGCACACCAGCGATGACGACCAACTCTTTTTCATTCTTACAACTTACTTTCCACTTAATTTTTTATTGTTGATTATTATACACTGACTGCTGAGTCACTTAGCATATATCACTACATTAGGGCAGTTACACTTATATTGCTTGAGAAATTGTCAACCTAACTTTCAGTAACATGTTTGTTGGCACAGGAATTCTTGACGCACTCAGTTTCTGATTATTACCTTTATGTAAGGCCAATTTACCCTGAACCTGGTTGATCAGCCTGCGAATAGATTGATAACCAGTGCTGTAACCACCTGAATTCGAAACGTGTCTGTTCGACCATTGTAACGCAGTATTCCTACAACCATGTCGTTTATCCGAAATTTGAATTATTTGCTGGACTGCCGTGTCGCTGAGTAATGCTCACACACAAAGTATGTGCATGTAAACCAAAATTTAACCACACCAGGTTACCCTTCAATTAACAGATTAGAGAATCCAGTGGTACAAGCTAGTATTTGACAAAACATTGTTAAACAAATGACACGGTTATATTAGAGAGAAACTCCCTTCCTTCTGGGTTTGATGTAATGACAAGAAGGCTGTCTGCAGCATCAACGTGTTACTATTATACTGGTTTGTATATGAAGTTGGTTCATACTCGCATGGTTGAAAGATCATATGGATTGTAAGCTCTTGCCCATCGTACATGCCTGGAATGATTTCACTCCAAAAAGTTCATACCATTTTCACCATCAGAACTATTAAACTTGAACCCGTATTTTCGAATGGTATTGACAGTGCAAAGTTGGTTTACTCCACTCCATTTAATATCTATCACTAACCAAAATTCCTTTGTTTCAAAATGAATGTAGACAGCTCTCAAGCTAGCTATTCATCAGGGGCATCACTTGGTCGCCCTGTTCATTAAATGTTACTACAAATCTGACCATATTAGAGGATCCGTCAGTATCAACCAAATCACTATGTTTTCTCTTGGTTCCTTTTCCTAAACCATCTGCATTATTATTAACATCCACATCTGGCCATGTGGCCAATGTATTTTCAGACATACAAGTACCCAATTTCCACACAACCCTATATTTATCATTCAATCGTTGTTTCATCAAGAACCGGTATCAGGGCGTGTTTAATGTGAACTGCAAACTAACACCTTGAGAGATTTTGTCTTAGATAAACCTCTGACACCTATTACTGATCTTTTCATAATCTGCTTGGACTAGCTGCATCATACCAAGAACAAGACTGCGATATTATTATCCATTCAGCATCTGGTTGACAGAATCTTTGTCAGAACCTTGTATATGAGCTAAGCGATTGCCAATCATATTATCTAAACGTGTTGTCATCAACAATTGTTATATTGTGATATATCGGAGACTGTTGATGTTTTGGTTACAGTTGGAACTAGATTTAGTGTCCCCAACTGTCATATCAATACCTAATAAAGAACATGTATCCACAATAGGCACATCATTCTTATTAACATTATCTATATCAATATCAGTTGTATTAGAGAAGTAAGGAGATTCCTGATCAACTGGTTGCTTTAAACATTTGTTAAGATCTACACTTAACACTTTCTCCGATGTCTGTTCTAATGTATGGATAGGTTTTGCCTGATCATTCTGAATATCCCCAAAATTTATCAAAGCTGCAGCTATGTTCAGTCGTTCTTCACTTTCTGTCAATGTCTCTCCAATACATCCACAACCATCAGAAGACAGTTCAAATCCAGTCTTTGCCTTTCCATCATCTTGATCACTGTCATTATTATCTCTAAGAACGTGTTTAAGAAAATCTTCTGCCTCATCTTCTGTGGTTAGGAAGTCATTATTGTTGTCATCAGTTGAAGCATCATCACTTGGATCACTCTCACTTTCAACTTCTTTGTCAGTTTCTGTATGAATATAATCAACATCATCTAAATCTGTTTTCTCTTTTCTTATCACCTCCTTTGTCTCTTCATTCTCTGATCCTACGGTTTTATTTTCATTACTCTCTACATACTTTAAAGCAACATCATTACCCACTGATATATCTTTTGGTGAAGAGGCAGCATCAGTTTCTTGTACAATTTGTTCAACAATATCTCTGAGAACTGCTTCTGCCATTCTCCTATTGTTTCTGCAAAATATGACTTCTCTACCTAAATTAAAATAAAAAAAAACAACTCCTATGACAAAACAGCTGCAATATATTACAAAACTGCAATTTATTACATTACTTGCATATCATTTAACCAGAGCAAAGAAATGATAAAATTTACAGTTTTGAATAACTATATTTAATCCATTTAAATTTATAGAACATAAAAACCACAAACATTTTGTACCATGGAATAATTTGGCCATCCTGGCTCTGGATTGCTCACCTGAGATTTATGCTAGAATAAACAGGAGCTGTCACAGGAGACAGCGAAGGTCGACTAATTAAATACTGGAATTTGAATTATTAAGTTGGATCACTTAAGAAATAAAGAAGTAACAGTAAACAAGAGGGCCATGATGGCCCTGAAGTCGCTCACCTGTATATAGGCCCCCAGAGCGGGGCCAGTTTAAACCCCAGGGCTTTTGTTTGAACAAACTTGGTAGACACCCATTAGAAGATATTTCATGCTAAACATCTAAGATTTGGCACGTTGAGTTTTTTTAAAAAAAAGATTTATAAGATTTAACTATACAAATATAGTTAAAAGCAATGACACCCCTAGGGCGGGGCCAGTTTTGACCCCATTTGACACTCACTAGAAGATGTTTCATGCTTAATATGTAAACTCTAGCTATTTGTTTTTTTTTAAATCAGATTTTTAAGTTTTTGCTATACACATATAAGGAAAATCAATGTCCCCCGGGGCAGGGCCAATTTTTACCCTAGGGCTTTTATTTGAACAAACTTTGAAGACACTAACTGGAATATGTTTCATGCTTAATATCTTAACTCTAGCTATTTGGGTTTTTTCAAAGAAGTTATTTTAAGTTTTTGCTATACACATCAATAAAATCAATGACCCCCGGGGCGAGGCCAATTTTGACCCAAGGGCTTTTATATGAACAAACTTTGTAGACACTCACTAGAAGATGTTTCATGCTTAGTAACAAAACTCTAGCTATTTGTTTTTTTTTCAAAGAAGATTTTTTTTTTAAAGTTTTTGCTTTACACATATAAGGAAAATCAATGACCCCCGGGGCAGGGCAAATTTTGACCCCAGGGCTCTTATTTGAACAAATTTGGTAGACACCCATTAGAACATGTTTCATGCTAAATATCTTAGCTCTAGCTCTTTGGGTTCTTTAAAAGAAGATTTTATAAGTTTTTACTATATGCATATAGGGAAAATCAATGACCCCCTGGGGCGGGGCCAATTTTGACCCCAGGGCTTTTATTTGAACAAACTTGATAGACACTCATTAGAAGATGTTTCATGCTAAATATCTTAGCTCTAGCTCTTTGGGTTCTTTAAAAGAAGATTTTATAAGTTTTTACTATATGCATATAGGGAAAATCAATGACCCCCTTGGGCGGGGCCAATTTTGACCCCAGGGCTTTTATTTGAACAAACTTGGTAGACACCCATTAGAAGATGTTTCATGCTAAATATCTTAGCTCTAGCTCTTTGGGTTCTTTAAAAGAAGATTTTTTAAGTTTTTACTATATGCATATAGGGAAAATCAATGACCCCCGGGGCGGGGCCAATTTTGACCCCAGGGCTTTTATTTGAACAAACTTGATAGACACTCACTAGAAGATGTTTCATGCCAAATATCTAAGCTCTACCTTTTTGGGTTTTTTAAAAGAAGATATTTTAAGTTTTTTCTATCGGTTGCCATGGCAACCAGAGTTCTGCATGGAATTAAATTCTTTGAACAATTTTTAAAGGTAACCACCAAACGAACATTCCTTTGAAGTTTGGATGAAATTGGCTCAGCGGTTAATGAGATGTCATTTAAAGTAAAAGTTTACGGACAACGGACGAAAAGCAATCACAAAAGCTCACCCTGTCACTTTGTGACAGGTGAGCTTAAAACCTATGACCCCCCAGGGCGGGGCCAAGTTTGATACTAGGGACAAAATTTGATCAACTTTGGTATTGGACCTTCAGATAATACAATATACCAAATATCAAAGCTCTAGGCCATTTACTTTCAGACCAGAATATTTTTCAAGTTTTAACTATATGTATATAATGAAAATCAATGACCCCCGGGGCACGGCCAATTTTGACCCGAGGGCCATTATTTGAACAATCTTGGTAGAGGTCAACTTTACATTGTTTCATGCCAAATACCTAACCTTTAGCCTTTACAAATTCAGAGAAGTAGATTTTTTTTTAGGTTTTACAATATACATAAAAGGAAAAACCTATGACCCCCCAGGGCGGGGCCGATTTTAATTCTAGGAACAAAATTTGAGCAACTTTGGTTTTGGACCTATAGATGATACCATAGACCAAATATCAAAGCTCTAGGCCATTTATTTTCAGACCAGAAGATTTTTCAAGTTTTCACTATATGTATATAATGAAAATCAATGACCCCCGAGGGCGGGGCCAATTTTGACCTGAGGGCCATTATTTGAACAATCTTGGTAGAGGTCTACCACACAATGTTTCATGCCAACTATCTTACCTGTAGCCTTTGCCAATTCAGAGAAGAAGATTTTTTTATGTTTTACTATATACATATTAGAAAAACCTATGACCCCCCGGGGTGGGGCCAATTTGACACTAGGGACAAAATTTGTACAACTTTGGTATTGGACCTTCAGATGATACCATAGACCAAATATCAAAGCTCTAGGGCATTTACTTTCAGACCAGAAGATTTTTCAAGTTTTCACTATATATATGTAATGAAAATCAATGACCCCCGGGGCGGGGCCAATTTTGACCCTAGGGCCATTATTTGAACAATCTTGATAGAGGTCTACTACACAATGTTTCATGCCAAATATCTAATCTGTAGCCTTTGCCAAATCAGAGAAGAAGATTTTTTTAGATTTTACTATATACATATAAGGAAAAACCTATGACCCCCGGGGCGGGGCCAATTTTGACACTAGGGACAAAATTTGAACAACTTTGGTAGAGGACCCATAGATGATACCATATACCAAAAATCAAAGCTCTGGCCCATGTACTTTCAGACAAGAAGATTTTTTAATTTTGTGTTTTTTGAAATCCTTTTCTGGCCCTATGACCTACATATGCAACAGACCGGAACCATTTGAACAACTTTGAAAGGATCATTTCTGTAAAGTTTGGTTGATGTGCAGTCATTGGTTTCAGAGGAGATGTTGTCAATGTTCAAAAGTTGACGACGCACAACGCCGGACAACGGACACAGGGCCATCACAATAGCTCACCCTGAGCATTGCTCAGATGAGCTAAAAATAATATTTTTTAAGGAAAATTCTAAGTTCAAGGGGAGATAAATCTGAAAATATTGGTGCTAGAGTTATGAACCTTGTCACATAAGATGGGGATGATGATAAGGTACATATATTTGAAGTATGAGGTTGATCCCTTAAGAAATAAAGAAGTAACAGTAAAAAATAGTATTTTTTAAGGAAAATTCTAAGTTCAAGGGGAGATAAATCTGAAAATATTGGTGCTAGAGTTATGAACCTTGTGATATAAGATGTGGTTGATGATAAGGAACATATATTTGAAGTTGATACCTTTAGAAATGAAAAAGTAATAGTGAAAAATATTTTACTGCACCAAAACTTTAATCTGAAATCTGGATACGGACGCTGGAGCGAGTAGGACAGTTCTCCATATACTTCCTATTGTCAAGATAAAAAGGGTAAAGCAAGCAATTAAGTCACAAAAGATTTGTTATTTTCTCTAAGCTGTATAATTTTTAAAATATTTGAAGATATCTGCTATGTAACACTTCATGACTCTTGACATTGTAATTTTACATAAGTACTTTGTAGTCTAAATTGTTTTTTTTTAATTAAGTTATCAATATGAAGTAAGTGACCCCCAGGGCCAGTTTTAACTCCAGGGGCATAATTTAATCACTTTTGTAGAGGACCACAAGGGTCATACTTCATGCAAAATATCTAAGCTCTGGACATTGAACTATCAGAGAAGATTCTTTTAAAGAATTGTAATTTCCGAGTTTTTCAAGCTATTTTAACAAGACTTTTGAAGATGTTTACAAAGCAATGTTACCATGCTCTTTGTATTGGAGTTTCACAAAAGAACACACAAAAGTATTTTCCTATACAAGTATATACATGTATAAACCAGCTGACCCCCAAGGCAGGGACAATTTTGACTCCAGTGGCAAGATTATGTAACTTTCGCAGAGGACCACAAGATGATGTTACATGCCAAATATCTAAGCCCTAAGCATTGTAATTTCCGAATTTTTCAAATTATTTTTACAAGTCTATATAAACAAGCAATTATCATAGTATTGCAAGCAATCCATAAGTCCCCTACCGGTAAGAGCCCAAGCAACATTCTGAAGGGCCATTGGCCATTCACTTATGTTCCTATTTTAAGTAAATTTGTTGAAAAAGTTCTTTAAAAGTGATCACAGGAAACAGTTTTTATGTACAGACAGACGGACTGAATTTAAGGACACTCTAAAGTTATTTTTTAAACATCCCTGTTATCAAAATATAACATTTTTAAAATCCTATCATGATTGAAGAAGTTGGAGTAAAAATTACCAATTTCTCAAAAAAAAAATCTAAACTTCAAAAGGGGCATAATTCTGGAAATAGTCTTGCTAGTGTATTGAACACTCACAAATGTTGAGTGATAATAAGGAACATTTATATGAAGTTTGAAGTAGATACATTCAGAAAAAGAAGTTATTTAAAAAAAACAACAATGTTTTTTCATGAAAATTTAAAGTTCAAGGGAGGTAATTCTGATAAATTTTGTGCTAGAGTTGTAAACCTTGTCACATATGATGTGGTTGATTACAAGCAACTTATATTTAAAGTTTGAAGAAAATACCTTAAGAAATAAAGAACTTATAGTGAAAAAACTTAAAAACTAGAATCAGAAATCTTGAAATTCAGTCTATTTGTTGCCATAGCAACCAGAATTTTCAACATAGGAAGATAAGAAAAGGATGTGCATAATTTCCATACTGCCATATGTCAAGTTTCATAAACATATTTTCAGTACTTTTTGTGTTATCACTGGATCCAGGTTATGTGTAAAATTTGTCATATTTTCAGTCTATTTGTTGCCATAGCAACCAGAATTTTCAACATAGGAAGAAAAGAAAAAGACGTGCATAATCTCCATACTGCCATCTATGCATATATCAAGTTTCATAAAAATATTTTCAGTACTTTTTGCGTTATTGCGGGATCCAGGTTATGTGTAAAATTTGCCATATTTTCAGTCTATTTGTTGCCATAGCAACCAGAATTTTCAACATAGGAAGAAAAGAAAAAGACGTGCATAATCTCCATACTGCCATCTATCCATATATCAAGTTTCATTAAAATATTTTCAGTACTTTTTGTGTTATCGCGGGATCCAGTTTTGTGGACGGACGGACTGACGGACGGACGGACAGACGGACGGAGGGTAAACCTAAAGTCCCCTCCGGTAAACCGGTAGGGGACTAATAAGGTCACCTGGGCTGCAGCCAATTTTGACCCCAGCTTCACAAAAAGAAGAATTACATGTATGTATTTTCCCGTTTCAAAAAAGCATATCAGTAATGAAAGATAACTTAACTTTCTTAAATTTCTTTTGGAAATAAAATTTATTAGGTAGCAGTGATTTTGTTTGTTTGTTTGATTGGGTTTTACGTCACACTGACACAGTATAGGTCATTTGGCGACGTTCCAGCTTTACTGGTGGAGGAAGACCTCAGGTGCCCCTTCCGTGTATTATTTCAGGCATGAAAGGGCACCCGAGTAGAACCACTGACGTTCCGTAAGCTAGCTGGAAAGCTTCCTCACATGAAAGAATCCAAAGTCCCTGTAGAGATTCAAACCCACAGCGGTGAGGGGCAAGTGGTTTGAAGTCAACGACCTTAACCACTCGGCCACGGACGCTCCTCAGTGATTTTGTGGGTAGGTATTAAGAGAGGAAAACAAATAACATTCTAACTTAGGCCTTATTCAATAATCAATTATTACAAATTTGCCGATCAAATTCAAATTTGCCTTAAAAATACATTAATTAGAGTAAAGTGTAAACATGTAAACAGACTTGTTTAAAGTAATATGTAGTGAAAACATAATTTTTTCAAATGGCAAACTGAGGCAAACAATAACTTTAAAGAAAATTCACATTTATTTATATAACAAGTGCTCCGCCAGTCAAAGTATTATATGCCTTAAGTATGTCCCGTCATTAGATGTACAATGTTAATATGCTATTGGAGTCAAAACTATCAGAACAAGTTATTGACCGAAAACGAGGATTTTTCACCATTGAATCTGACCTTGGACTTAATGACCTCAATATTGGTAGGGGTTAATTCAGTCTTTCCATCGGCCATGTCCCTACTAACTTTACCAAACTTATTTGTGGATAAGGACTTTAAACTAGATATTAGGGCAGCCTTGACCTCTGACCTAAAAATCAACAGGGGCCAGTCATCTACTGGCAAAGGACAAACCTCATACCAAGTTTCACAAACCTAGTAAGCATATTCCTTCTCAAGTTCTTTGTTGGACAAGGAATTTTAACTAAGTGTCAAGTGTCACTATCACCTTGACTTTTGACCTAAAAATCAATAGATACTTGCCAAGTTCATGACTTCAATTTACTGTGCGGCCTTGACCTACTAACCTCAAAATCAATAGGCCCATTTAGATCTATATGAAACATTCTCAGTAAATTTTAAAGTTTTAAAAACATTTATTATTGCTGTTATTATAGAAATAAGTTTAATTTTCAAAACAACAAAAATGTTTGACTAAAAAAACAAGCAAACGTCAGCCACATGCAAGAGTGACCTTTTGTCAGCGACTTTGTGGGGTTTTTTTTACTTTAAATATTAACTAATGCTCCTTTTAATGAACGGTAAAATATTACATTTATGGACTTAGTCCTTTTCAAAACTGACAATTTGTTTTATTTTCTCAGAGCAATTTTCCCGCTATCCTGTCAACTTCGGCGTGCAAGGCTTGCGTGAATCCATTTGATTGGATGCTTTGAAAGAAATATGAACAACAAATTTTCACAGTACACCGTCAATTTTTGTTCCCGGCTGTGCAATAGTATGAAATGCATACAAAGTTTTATGAAAAGTAGAAGCAGAGAACCAGTCCGGCAAAAATGGCGTTCACATTTGTTGCAGCTTGTTATATTTTAGCTCTTATTTTGACAGCTGTTCTTATCTTTTTCGCAATCTTTCATGTAAGTTTTATAATTTAATACCTTTAAACAAAACAAATGATCACCATTTAAGCTTTTACATTCGATACTATTTCTTGTAACCGACATTCGTTCTTTGCATAATATTCGGCTAAATTTTATTCGGATAATAAATAATTTAAAGTTTGCAAATTTGTTAAATCTATTGTTTTCTTCATTTATCTGTAATATTCTTTTCTCTCTGCAATTATTGACTCTCATTTTGAAATATTGCACAAAAATCAAATTTACAGATCATGCATAATTATGCGTGATTGATTTTGTTTCAGGAAGAGGCTGTAAAGCCAATGAACCGGGAAATTGTTTATTTTTCAGTTTAAAGGTGTCATTTGGTATTTTCATGCACATTGAAATGATTAATATGAAATTTGGCAAAGCGTATGGACGGGGAAGTTGGTTAAAAAATTGTTCATTTTTCCGTTTTAAAGTTTTCATTCAGTATTTCATGCACCGCTTCCGTTTATTATTGATCCGAAAAGTTGCAATTGTTCATTATCGGAATACCTTTTATCACTGAGTTACATTGAAAGTGGCGACACCCGACTTCGCTGACACTGAAAATTTTATTGATAGGTATAGAATTTTATATACCGGTATGCTTTAAATTGTTTTTTATTTGATTTTCTTTTGAATATACACGTGTAGTCTATAGCCGGGCAAGCCAAAGCTAATAAACTAATACATTATGACCATGATAAAATAATTATATCATTCAAGTTATTGTTATTTATATGAAATTAGATGCTACCTATGGTGCGGAAAGCTATTATGAATTATGATTTTAGCATAACATGTTTAGTGTACATGTAAACCAGATATATCTTGCAGGTATTTTGTACCTTAAACAAAACGAATAAATTGGTGGTGTTCAAGCTATCATCGGAGCGCTTGGAATATCAATCTCCTACACAGTGATCTCCCCTTATCAGTACAGAGATCTCTGCCATCACTAACATTGAAATATCAATATTTTGATATTTGTATTTTTTAGCTTTTTAATTTATTTTTCATTATTTTGTATACTTTTGATAATTTTTTGATAAAATATAACGGACGTAGGTACAAAAAGTTAAAAATAAAACAGAAAGCAAAAAATGACGTTAGATTTTCTATGTAACGGTCGATATTTGCATTTGAATTTCGCCGTTACGTCATGTGACTTTCATCATCATGTGACGTCTGTGAAGGCAGTGATTACAATTCTGTCAATGGGAGGTAATCACTGTGAGGAGTTTGTCGGAATATTCCTAAAATCTCCGAACGTAAAGGGGGACCACTGCGCATGCGTTGGAAAATCCCGTCCGCCACTTTTGTTAATCTCTAATCACAGTTGTTGTTTTTACGTTATTTTTAATGTGCTAATTTATCAAAAAGGATATGTTAAAGTAACTTTTTATATTTATAATCGTTACTATAATTCTTATCAATGAAATGCAGGTTTATTTTCTGATTTTGTACATCATTCTTTCACCGGAAGTGTTACTTAGCATGCGTCTGCTAGCAATAGTCTGAATTATGTAGACGCTCATTAAAAGCGCTCTGATATCTATATTTAGCTCAAGAGGATTTCAAAATGGGGGCATCCAGTTAACTAAGGATTTTTTCACTGCTCATTAGATATAGGATATATTTTTTTTGAAATTTTCATTAGTTTTAATTTGATTTCATTTGAATTGATACGCATCATACATGTTATCTAAGAGCGCTACAGCCCTCGCGGGGCCTTCGGCTCCCGCTCTGACTTTCCGCATATAATGTTAAGTATTCTTTCTTAAAGATTTACATGCAGCCATACATTAAGTTAACAGAGAAAAAAACATGCAGTAATAGTGATAGATTCTTATGACCATGCAACATTGTTTCATATTTTTTTATATGTGTTACTCAGGGTGCAATACAAAACAGCTTAATCAATTTTAATGCAATGATGGCCCACAGTAGTTTTATTATCAAAATATAACTGCAGTAGCACATGGAAAGCATGGCATGGTTTCTTTTACAATGAAATGAGGAAGTACCAATACTTCAATGCAGAAGGGGCATCCGTGGCCGAGTGGTTAAGGTTGTTGACTTCAAACCACTTGCCCCTCACCACTGTGGGTTCGAATCCCAACAGGGACTATGAATTCTTTCGTGTGAGGAAGCTATCCAGCTAGCTTATGAAACGTCAGTGGTTCTACTCAGGTGCCCGTTCGTGTCTGAAATAATGCATGAAAGGGCACTTGAAATCTACCTCCACCAGTAAAACTGGAACGTCGTGATATGACCTATACTGTGTCGGTGTGACGTAAAACCCAAACAGACAGTCAATGCAGAAATGGCACAAATTTCGTGCATTAACATCTGCAGAAGCCCTCAAACATATTAACTCCCTCACTCTGCTTGCTTTAAATGTGTGTCAAGTGAGTGTAGGACAAAAGCCTTCCGATCCAAAAATGACAAGGCAGACAAAAGACCTCCCCTAAAAATGGCTGGACGGACAAAAGTCCTCACTTGAAATAACAGGGCGGACAAAACATATTGTGCAATGATGATATGTTATGCAAACGGCCTGAAACACAAGTTTGCATGGTTTAACAGAAGAAAAAAAGAAAAAAACAAACAATAACAATGAGCACCAATTCAATTTATTTTTAAAAATTCCAAATTTGAAGAAATTAACAAATAGTACATGGATGTCACATTTTCATGTATCTCACATGTAGATTTGTCAGATCTGTGCATTTTAACCCTTACCCTGCTGAAACCAAAAGTTATCAGCCTTTGCCACCAGTATAGAGCCAGGCCAGCCTGCACATACATGCAGTCTGACTATGCTTTATACTGTTGCCAGCTCAATTTTCGTATTTTGATGTTGAAATCCCTTGAACTTTAAATGGACAGTTCCAAAATCAAGGCAGGACAGATCCATTATAGAAATATAGCAGGTTAAGGGTCAAATGACCAATCTGATGTTCTATATCAAACTGTTAGATGACACAAACTGTAGGTAAAGGAGTTCATGTGCAGTCATTTTATATAAGGGTAAATTTTATGACTTAAGTCATATCAAAAAGTAAAAATTTGCAGTACATGTACTAAAAAACTTGTAATAAGGTATATAATAGGAAATGTATATGATTGTAAAAATGTTTTTCTTGTTTCAGATAATTGCCTTTGATGAGTTAAAGACAGACTACAAGAATCCTATAGACCAGTGTAACAGCCTAAATCCTGTAAGATTTTATATGTGCATTTAAAAAAGGGTTAAGCTATTACTACCATCCAAATATAATACAATCAATTATTGTATTATTATCTTTATATAGATTAGAGGATTTTCAGGTGACTACTCTCTAAGTATTGAATTTAATATTGTATTGCATGACATTAAAATAATCATAAATGTATTCTGATTCCAAGTTTGAGCCTTGGTCTATTGTACAGTAATCTTTATATAAAAAAAACTTTCAGTTTGACTGATAGTTTCAATAACCATGTATATAATGTAAATCCTTCAGCCTTCCTTAAAGATGCCTGCTTTTCTTAAATGTCAGGAAACCTTTGGACATGGCCAGTAAATTCTTGTGTCTCTAAATGTGTGGCATGGCTTATCAGACAAAATTTACAATGAATAAGGATTATTAATTGAAGGAAATAGTTAAGACAGATTTTAGTTTTGGTAAGGCAAAAATATGTTTGCCGAAAAAAATGTTTAAAAAAGGTTCTAAATGTTCTGTAGTGTAGTAAAATCTGTTTGTTAATCTTGGGTAAATATTTCAAAACCAGTTTTTAATGTGTAAAGATTTGTTGTTAGTTATTGGCAGGCAGGTAATCAAAATTATATTTATTTAAAGTAATAAGCCACAATATAATAATTTTGATAAGTTTCAATATTTCTAATTTTCAGCTGGTGTTACCAGAGTACTTCATTCATATTTTCTTTACTGTTATGTTGTTGTTTGCAATGGAATTCTTCACTGTGATCCTCAATGCCCCACTTATAGCTTATCATCTTAAAAGGTAAGAATTTCTAAGAATTCATTTCCATAAATATAAAACCCATACAATCCCTTTGTTAGATTTGTATGTTTGAATAGTTGTAAACCAGAACTCGGCAAATGTGGGGTTTTTCAAGCTAATCTGCTGGTACAAACACACTTTTACCATTATTGCTTCACGGTGCACTACCATTCACAATTAATAAGTACTCTGTTGTGCATATTTCCAAACTGTAAAAGTTTGTACCCCCAGATTAGCTAGGGAAAACCCTAAATATTCTTAATTCGGGAGTAAGTCACTGCCTATTTGGAACTTCATATATGTATTGTTAATGTATGTAGTCAACAGATTAATATGATTTACAGCTTGATCGATTCATATTATTAAAATGCACAGTGTGCATCTTTTCTTGTCAACTTTGCATTACTGTAGTCTTAGTCTGACACTAGGTATTTTTCATCTAGTTTGGTCAAATACATAGTTACATGTATTAATCCTTCTTGCTTTGAATTGGAAATTGTCCATTGTTCATGATTTCAATAATAGGATTTGTTGGTAAATGATTATTTAAGCTTAAATCCTTCATTACAAAATAAGAATCATGTATGCATGAAATGGTTAGATTAAGCAGTGGACACTGTAGAGTATAAATCAGACTGTATGTAAGGTACAGAGAAACAAAGGTTGGTATTGCTTTATTCTTTCGGAATACAGGAGTCCACTCACTAAGCTCAATAGGGAGAGCATTAGATTAGTAATCCAGGGGTGGCTGTTTCAATCCTCTAGCCATGTGTATTTTTCTGTGACATTGAGTATAAATTAGATTAACTAATGGTCATTTGTCTCTCACCACTGATTCAAAAATTATATGGATTAGTATTTTTTCACATGCACAGAAATTGGTATTTACTGGTTAGTTATCCAGGAAAATCTGTTCAGTTAATCGATCTTCAGGATATGACCGAAACATGTGTTCAGCGTTCATCTAATCAGCGTTAAATCCAGACAAACAAACCAAACCATTTCCACTAATTTTCAAAGCAGTATAAATAATATGCATTTATTATTGGCTATTTCTATGTAACAAAATCTTTTATTATGCGAGTAATGAAATAAAATGTTTTGTTTCTGTTGTATTACAGATATAGTAGTAGACCAGTAATGAGCCAGCCAGGACTGTATGATCCAACAACTATAATGAATGCAGATCAGTTAAATAGAGCTATGAGAGAGGGCTGGATTAAACTAGCTTTCTATCTTATCTCGTTCTTTTATTACTTATACAGGTACAAATCTTACATTGTATGTTATTTATGAGTCGATTCGCTTATTCCAGGGCTTCCATTAAGTCCCAAAATTTGGAATTCAGGGACTGTAAAATGGCCAACACTGGGAGTCACATTATAAAGGTATAGAAGGGAAAGGGTTATATTTTGAAGCCACAAGCTAGAATCAGAAGTACTTAATTCACAAAATGCCCAAAATGGCAAAATTTAAAATATTGCAGGGTCAGTTTGTTTAAGTATTTTTATTTTATTAACTGTTTGGTAAATGATAATATATTTTTGAAAACATTTATCTCTCTGGACAGAAATTTTCTACCATTTGAATATACGTTATATTCATGTTATGTTTTATTGATAAAAACTTTGGTGTATAATAACAGTTTTGAATTTATATTTCTCGTTGCAGTATGATCTTTGAGTTGGTTTCGTCGTAAATTATTATTGCGGGTGTGAAGCATTGAACAAATTAGACCCCGAGATTAGTGTGGAATGTTTCGAGAAAATCAACGTTAAGTGTTGCCAATTGTGTGAAAATTTACCTGGAGATTTCAGTCATTTGAATAAGCATCAAATGTTTTATATTGCTTGAAATTTTGTTAATGCCATTTTATTATTAGTGCCTACTTTAAAATTTATATAGAAGTGAGCTGTCATAAGTTATCTGAGTTATTTGAGTTAGGCTCAAACTGGAGCTTAGCAACGTATTTACTCTCAAAGTTAGATTAAAGCATATTTTTGTAGGAAGTTCACGAAAATGTGTTTACCAGTTATAGAGAATTTTGTTTTCAGCATTCACTTGCGTCATTTTCTTTTGAATTTTGGATCTTGACAAAAAGTACCATTTCATTGTTTAATGAAGTCTACAGATGCCATTGTTGTAAAATAATTTGCGGTTGGGTTTTTTCTTGGAAAATTTAGTTAACTATTTTTACGCCTGTCGAGGTAAGACATAATATCCACTGAAATTTAACAGATATCTTAAGATGAAGTAGTTAACCCTTACCACACATTATACCTTAAATGGACATTCTTCAAAATATATGTACTGACTGATCATGGTCTGCACTTGCCACATGGGTAGGATCAGTTGTGGCTAGCTGTGTAGTGGTTTCTTACTTCAAACTTCTTGCCTCTCACAGCTTTGTTGCAGTGTGGAAGAAAAGAACAACGTCTCTGATGTCTGGAAATGGTTAATTTTGGAAAGTAGGCTGCACTGTCCAGGTGCTGTGAAATTAAACACAAGACTGTGATTCCTTTCTCTTTTCCTTTATCAGTAAATCTTGAAAGACATATTATAAATTAACGTGGCTCCTGTGTGAAACCAGTGGAAAAAATGTGATTATTACAATAAAAATTTTATTGAAACCAGATGGCTTACAAGAATATACATGATTTAGAGGTCTTTTGATAATTTAAAATCAATCATATTGCATCATACTTACATAGTTACTACTGTATAACATGTGACTCATTATAATAATGATAAGTAAAATAGGGCTGATATATATTTAGCAATGGCTAAATTTCTGTCTAAAGGGACTTAGAGAAGTGTCTAGGGTAGATAATGGAACAGTGGATTTGTTAACTTAAAACAATGGTTTTATATGTTTATCAAATATAATGAAACCATCCTTTATAAAGCTGCTTTAAATATCAATGCTGTAAAGCACATAGTCACAAATATATATCTATATTTTAATAAATGCTTAAAGGTAGTAAATTTATTGTCTATTTTATCACTGTATTCTTGTTGTATATTATTTATATAATGTCTAGAAATGTGTGAATGTTGATATTTTATAATATTTGGTAAATGCTTTTGTCAAAATTGTCTGATTTCTATTTGTACACAATGCATCATATTTTTTTTTAAATAAAAAATGTCAAAATATTTCCATAAGAAGGAACTGAACGCAAGTGCACTATTTTTCAAAAAAACTGTAATTGAAATGTGATAGTTTTGGATTTGAACAAAGTTATTTTGATACTTTAAAAAGTAATTAATGAATTAATGACCCTTTGGTAAGCTGTAAATTATGTACAATTTTAATGAATATGATTTATATAGTGTGATGTGTATAAGGTGTGTATTTTGTTTATTTATACTGTACATTTGTGAATATAGAGGCAAATATTTTACATTTGTGGTATAATGTACAAAGCATAATAAACCACTTTATACATGTTCTGTTGTTGAATCTAAGAGAACAGAAGTAATTGTCATGATACTTTTTTATAATGGAAATAATAAAAATCTTATCAAAATTTCAGAAGATAATATGTAAAACTTTGAGATGTTGAAAAGTTTATGACACTACAGTTTGACTAAATTAAATACTATCAATTTCAATATTTTGATACTGAATTCTCAAAATTATGTACCAAATTCAAAGCAAAGCAAACACATTGTGTAAAAAATGTTAGTTAGGCTGGCATTTGTCCTGTAAATTTCATGTCTGTGTTTTGAAATTTTTTACTGTTACTTACACACAATATACATGTATATCTTTTTTGCATGCTTCAAGGTTACCTGATTTTGATGGCAGAAGTTGGTCAAAGATATTATAGTATTTTGTTTATTCTGATATTCTTGTTATTTTGTAGCCACTCCATTTTTCTGTCAAACATTGACATTGCAAGTTTCAAGATCTTAAAATATTTCTTTAAAACATGTTTAAAATAGCCTTTGTGATTTTATTTGGAAACATACTATACTTGTATGTCAGCCTTACCCAATTATCACTTAAATATAGAACATTATATAAATACACTTTATTGCATTTTCATAAATTGATGTATAAATAACTTTTGAAATTAGATTCTTTTGAGATGTTCCCCACAAAGCTTTATATAATTTAGTCTTAAGATATCCCCACAAAGCTTTATATAATTAAGTCTTGAGATACACCCCTTGTTTTGGCATGTAGCCTTTATAAGATTTGGCCCATGTAGCCAAGAAGGCAATTAACACTCTTTTTAGAGACCACTTCACAAGGTATATTGTTAATAATTACAAAATTGTGTGCTGCAATTTTAAAATTGACGTTTTATGTCAGTAATATTATGTTTTTGATGTTGAAAGTTATTGAAACTTTTATGTGAAAACAGAGGCAGTATGCCAAAAATACATTTTGGAGAAAGATAGAGATTTTATCTACATTTCAGACTTTTAAATATATGGCGTAGCAAATGAATGGAAATTACATCCTATATTGCATCAACTAAAGAACTTTACTTGTTTGTTTGTGGATTTAATAATAAACATATATGCACTGGAAAAGTGACAGAAGCCTTGCACATATCATAAACTGAATATTTGTGTGAATATTGATTATTTGTCGAATATAAGTATTTATATTTATCACATAACCCCAAGCTGCTTTCCTGATTCCATAAAAGTAAAGGTAATGCACAGCCATGGTTATAGTTTAACGTAATTTGCGATATAGAAACATGGCTTGAAGAAGCACCAAATGTTTTTTTCACATTAAACAGTCTTTATTTTGGGTATGTTATAAATTGAATAATATATTCATGTAGGTTCAATACTGTTTTTATTGAACATGTTGAATAAATTCAGTATTGTAAGTACACTCATCCAATATCTTCTATTTATGTATTTAAGTATATTGTTACATGATATAATACAAAAATGTATATGAAATGATATGAATCACGTAAAAGTTGAAGCACTGGAAATCAAAGATTAAAATGAATCAATACAGTAGCTTTGTCTCAAGCCCCTTCAATCTCATCTGTGATAACTATGAACTTTTGTCACCAGTATGAAATCAGGCAAGCCAGGGTCAGAGGTTATATAGAAATCCTCAAAGCTCAAACACAGATCTCAGGTTTCTGATTGGTCAGAAACTGCCACAGAATGTACACTGACCAATGAAAATCCTGAGATTTGAGACACAACTCAGAAAAACGTTTTATAACCTAGAGGCCAGTCTTATACTGTCTCTTTTTTAAATATTTTGATACTGAACATATTTGGACTGTTCCAAATTCAAATGTTGGACAAGTCCATAATCCAAATTTGGTAGGGTTAGGTTGAAATAGGGACAGTGATATGATCACATGTTTTTCGTTGTTATGACAAGAAATAGATAAAAGTTTTGAATGAGTAGAAACTCATTTTTTTCAATTGAAATCCATCATGATAATTTTCTATGTTATAATGTTGTTTGTGTCTGTAGATAAATTGAGCTCAAATTGGATACAGAGCTTTGAGGAATTGTTTGTTTTCTGTGATAAGTGTGTCTGTCATGTGTCCACTGTTTCATCAGAGAATCTATTTTTTAGAATTCAAAGCTAGTTATAAAAATATTATCATATGGAATGTTTGTATTGGATGTTGATTTTTATTTTCATTTTCATAATTTTTGAAATTCATTCTAATATGGCATAATGTTATTAGAAGAAAATAAGCTTTCAATTGCTTCTTCTATCTGATGCTAGCAAGATTTGACAGTAATTTAGAGGTAAATTATTTGAAATATTACTTGGAATATTACTTTGTTGATCTGAAAAATAATTTTGCGGCAGTCATTTGCAGAAACATAGCTACTGTTAGTAAGAATACATTTCTTGGTTTTATTCTTCTAATCCAGTCAAAAGCAAAGAGCAAAAAAGCAGAAAAAGAAATACAGTTTGTATGTTGAAAATAACAGGGTTTTGTTTGTACAGATATTTAACAAACTTGATTTCAATAAAAAAATAAAACTTCTACAATACATAAAACTCATATTTGTTTATCAATATATCAACTGTTCTCTCACAAACTGTGGAAAGTTGACATTAATATCTTGTATTGCATTTTTACTTCATGCAATGTAATTGAAAGAAATGAGCCGCGTCACAACAAAACCAACATAATGCGTTTGCGACCAGCATGGATCCAGACCAGCCTGGGCATCTGCGCAGTCTGATCAGGATCCATGCTGTTCACTGTCAGTTTCTCCACTTGTAACAGAGTTGATAAAGGAACAGCATGGATCCTGATCAGACTGCGCGGATGCGCAGGCTGGTCTGGATTCATGCTGGTCGCACTATGTTGGTTTTGTCATAACGCGGCTCAAATTATTTTTTATGCCACCGCAGCATCTGCGATGCGGTGGCATATAGCGATTCACCTGTGTGTTTGTTTGTGTGTGTGTGTGTGTGTTATATAGATTATATAGTGAACTTAAAAAATCTTCTTGTGAAAAACCACTTGTCCAATTTCAACCAAACTTGGCAGGATTGATCCTTGGGTGAAGGGCTTCCAAAGTTGTTCAAAGAATTTCATTCCATGCAGAAATCTGGTTGCCATGGCAACCAAAAGGAATTATAAGAATAAATTTTAAAAAATCTTCTTGTAAAGACCCAAAAGGCCTAGAGCTTAGATATTTTGCATATGGCATTGTCTGGTAGACCTCTACCAAGATTGTTCAAATTATATCCCTGGGGTCAAAATCGGCCCCGCCCCGGGGGTCATTGATTTTCACTATATGTACATATAGTAAAAACTTAAAATACATTCTTGTAAAGACCCAAAAGGCCTAGAGCTTAGATATTTTGCATAAGGCATTGTCTGGTAGACCTCTACCAAGATTATTCAAATAATAACCCTGGGGTCAAAATCGGCCCCGCCCCGGGGGTCATTGATTTTCACTATATGTACATATAGTAAAAACTTAAAATACCTTCTTGTAAAGACCAAAAAGGCCTAGAGCTTAGATATTTTGCATAAGGCATTGTCTGATAGACCCTTACCAAGATTGTTCAAATTATAGCCCTGGGGTCAAAATCAGCTCCGCCCCGGGGGTCATTGATTTTCACTATATGTACATATAGTAAAAACTTAAAATACCTTCTTGTAAAGACCAAAAAGGCCTAGAGCTTAGATATTTTGCATAAGGCATTGTCTGGTAGACCTCTACTCAGATTGTTCAAATTATAGCCCTGGGGTCAAAATCGGCCCTGCCCCTGGGGTCATTGGTTTTCCTTATATGTATATAGAAAAAACTTTATAGTAAAAAAATTTCTTCTAGCAAATGCTAGAGGTTAGATATTTTGCATGAAACATTGTGAAGTGAACTTCTAGCAAGATTGTTCAAATTATAGCCCTGGGGTCAAAATTGCCCCTGCCCCGGGGTCATTGATTTTCAATATATACATATATAGTAAAAAATAAAAAAATCTTATTGTCTGAAGGTACAAGGCTTAGAGCTTGAATATTTGTTAAATGATATCATCTATAGGTACTCTACCAAAGTTGTTCAAATTTTGCCTCTTGTGTCAAAATTAGCCCGCCCCATGGGCCATAGGTTTTCCTTATATGTATATAGTAAAAAATTAAAAAATCACCTTCTCTAAATTTACAAAGGCTAGAGTTAAGATATTTTGCATGAAACATTATGTAGTAAACCTCTAGCAAGATTGTACACATTATAGCCCTGGGGTCAAAATTGGCCCCACCCCCAGGAGTCATTGATTTTTACTATGTACATATAGTAAAAAAAAAAAAAGAATAATTTTTTTGTCTGAAGGTACAAGGCATAGAGCTTTGATGTTTGCTCTATAATATATTCTATGGGTTCTCTACTAAAGTTGTTTTAATTATGCCCCTAGTGTTAAAATTGGCCCTGCCCAGGGGCAGTGATTCTCATTATGTTCACATAGTAAAAACAGAAAATAAAACAAATCTTTTCTGAATAGGAGAAAGCTGCAGCTTAGATATTTGACTTGAAATGTTGTTTGGTGGACCTGTATCAAGATTGTTTTGAATTAAACCCTTGGGTCCAAAATTTTGCCTTGCCCAAGGGGACAGTGACCTACTTTCTTGTTCTTTAATGTACAGCAATGAAATTTTGACCATGTGCACAGTTTTAGTTGTAAAATTGAACTTTGATATCAGGTGAACTAGATTTTGATGATGTGACCTACTTTCTTGTCCTTTGATGTACAGCTATGAAATTTGAACCATGTGTACAGATTAAGATGTTAAGTGAACTTTGATTTCAGCTGACCTAGATTTTGACAAAGTGTCTTACTATGTTGTCTTTTGATGTAGTCATGAAATTTAGGCTGTGTGAAATATGACCGTGATTCACCACCAAATTCACTAGACTCAAGTGCATTGATATATTCCTACTCTGATCTTTTATTGAGTTAACAACAGATTTAACCACTAATCTGATAATTAGAATTAGATAGGTCAGGGATCTATGCATTATGACAATCTTCAAAATTGTATAGAAACAAAGAAAATCTGTTCCTACATTACTATTTAGTGTTGTATTAATGCGGTGGCATAGCATTTTTCTCAAATGCAATCTTGTTTTGTAAGCTTGTTTACATTTACTCAAATGATGTTTACAGTTACAAGAGTCTAGTCGACTTGCTATTTTAATGCCATATAACATTCAGAATCAAATTGAGCACAGATTAAGTTGTCTGCAGAACAAATTTAAGTTTTTTTTGTTTTTGTTTTTCAGAACAAATTCAAATTTTGTTGTGCCAAATATGAAATGTTTTAAATCTGAGCACATGTCTGTGAGAAAATAAATTTGTCACAAGGTCCGCTGCATTATCTACAGAAGTGAAGTAAATGGTTCCATATCCTGAATGTATGTTTTGTTTTTTAATCAGCTTTATAGTATTGTATGTAATGTTGTCTATAATTTGTTCTAGTAAATATTTTAAAACTTTATATGTGTTTTCACTCTTTTTCAAGATAACCAGTAAGTTACAAAGGACCGTTTGTATTTCATATTTATAGGTTTTAAAATTGGGGATTTTTTTATAATTTACAAACAACCCATAGAATGTTATGTATCTGTAGTGGCATGTGTTTTATCCTTGAATATACTGTAGATAGGGTTTTATCATTAAATATAGACAGGGTTTTATCCTTTAATATAGATAGGGCTTTATCCTTGAATATATATAGGGTTTTACCCTTGAATATAGACATGGTTTTACCCTTGAATATAGACATGGTTTTACCCTTGAATATAGACAGGATTTAACCTTGAATATAGACAGGGTTTTATCCTTGAATATAGATAGGGCTTTATCCTTGAATATAGACAGGGATTTACCCTTGAATATAGACAGGGTTTTACCCTTGAATATAGACAGGGTTTTATCCTTGAATATAGTTAGGGCTTTATTCTTTGATATAGACAGGGTTTTATCCTTGGATATATATAGGGTTTTACCCTTAATAATAGACAGTGTTTACCCTTGAATATAGACAGGGTTTTACCCTTGAGTATAGATAGGGTTTATCCTTAAATATAGATAGGGGTTTACCCTTGTCTATAGACAGGGTTTTACCTTTGAATATAGACCGGGTTTTATCCATGAATATACATGTAGACAGGGTTTTATCCATCAATATAGACAGGGTTTTATCCATCAATATAGACAGGGTTTTATCCATACCTTTGACCCTTTTAATGGGGGATAATCAGGGGAGACAATTTCTAACAAAAATCACTTCTAAGGTGTTGAGCAGACATATCAGCCTTTAGGGAGTATAGAATAAAAAGCCAGGCATAATGAACAATGTTATTTTATTTTCAACCTAGTCATGAAGGTGAATAAGTACGAGGAGAATTATAGTAAAACAAAATTTGTGATTCCTAATTCAACAATAATCTATACATTACCTCATTGATTTTACAAGGTCTGATTACAAAGGAAATTCTATCAATAACATGAAAGTCCGATGATATTTTTATTTATGAGTAAGGTTGTAACTGGACTTTGGGGTTAAATATATTGTGAGAATTTCTGGTTCCTGTGACCAGTATGTAACATTTTTACAACCCGAATTTAATTGTCACTATACAATACTGAATATAACGAAATTAACATAAATCCTGTCGCAAATCTTTTAAAATATAATTTCTAAAATTCAAAATACAAATGTACGCAAGTATCCAATTTCGAGATTTTTTTATTGTTTTAATACTAGCAGGGTTGATGACTGACCAATGCCTCAAGAATACACTTGCAAGACTACTGCTGACTGCTTAGTTTCAACTTCAAATTCCTGAAGATAACAATGGATCGTGCTTGATATTTAGGGAGACCAAATCCATTGTGAAAAAAAGTTTTGTAATGGTTGAAGATTAACAAAGCATTAACCACATTGAAAGATGTTCATATCACAAACACATACCATACATATATTTCATGTTTTATGTACAAATGTGTGAAAATACATAAAGCTAATTGTCATCAATGAACCACGACATAATGTAAGAATTATTTACTTTCTCAAAAATGATTGATTGTGACATTCATTAAAATTAAGTGAGTACGGAACTTACGTTTTTGTTAAAATCCCACGTTCATATAAATTGATACAAGATTTTATGCAAAAGCTATAAAAATGACCAACAAAATGATTTTATTGGCAGTCCAGCCCATGACATAATTTTTTAGAAAACTATTTCTAGTAAATGACGGAGACGATATCAAATGGAGTTAACAATATAGCATACTACTAAATTCTTTAAGCCAGTGTTTGTATTGGCCGTGTCTTTTTAAATGGTGATTTTGTTTCAAAGTTATGAATTATGGTAAACAATGAAATTAACTTGTTTACATGTTCGTCATATTTTGCTTTTAAACAGATGTCTAAATATCCACGTTATTATTATTATTAGAAGTGTACACAATGTGGCGATATTGTGAACACAAAGTTAAGTCCGAAAAGCAGAAAAGACCTTAAAATTAAAGTTCTTTCTAGCCATACTGGACATATTTTACCTATGACAGTCATTCAATTTTCCAGACCATGATAGACGTAAAATGTCGGCAATAAGGTTCCATGTCGGACTGTTTATTGATCCATCTATACAATACGTAAGATTTTGCAATTAAAATACGATAGCGTTATATTATTAAAACCTCTTTAAGGAAATGAAAAAGACAAGGATTAATTTATGTAGCAAAGCAGAATAATTTCATGTCAAAAATGTTACTTTTGATTTCATAACCTTGAAACATGGTGAAGATTATACGAGTATAAGTCTGAGATAACAATTTTAAAATAAATATCTACAATGTTTTAAGTGTCTTTTCCGCCAGTTTTGTTCCATTCTGAGCATCTGGAGGTTTTGTTCCCTTTTGAGCATCGAGAGGTTTTGTTCCGTTCTTAGTTACCTCTCCATTCTCTACGTCATAGGTTCCAACTTTTGATCTGGAAAAAAAAGTAACCAGATAAAATAGGACGTTAGATAATGAACTATAACATCACCAGATATTAGCTCAATCTTCATTGTTTTATTTTATACATGGTCGGCACGGGTAACCTGTCTAGAGGAGATAATTAATTTCAATACTTTTACTAATTAAGAAGTCGGTGGACGATTTCATGATAGGTGATGCACTTTCCAATATTCTCTAATGAACAAACTGAAGCATAACAACTTTGCAATTTCACGAAATTGGCAGAAAACTTTCTTGTCTAAAATAATACTGGTACATGGTAAGTAAACGCGCAGTCTTAGGAACATAACTACCCAACCATTTTTTGCCATTTCAAAACATTAAATTTTAAAAAGTAAATCGATTGTGAAAATTCGAGGTTTTATCCTTACTAGTAAGTTCTGCTACAAGTATTTAGACTTCGTGTATAAGGAAGAAATATTTCAAGTTTTGATCACATATTTAAAAGGGTTTATTATTAACCCTTATTTATACTATTGACACTTTTGTATCTATTTTGACCGCCTCCGTGGTCGAGGGGTTAGAGTCGATGACTTCTATTCCAGTTACCTCTCTGGCGTGGGTTCGATCCCCGGGAGATGCTTTGGTAGTTTAGCACGGAGGAAGATAGTCTTGTACTGGTGTAACTCTCCAGGAACGATGGTTAGGAAACTACCCGCCTATATGACTGAAATACTGTTGGGAAAAGGCGTAAAATGAAACAAACAAACAAACGTATCTATTTTGATATTTGTCGAATATTGAATAATGATGATTCAACTATATACACCATTCCTTTTAAACATTTTCAATCAGTATATTCTTCTTTTACCTTTTGCAAGGAAACTCTTTGCACTTTTTCAGCACGCCTAATTTCCAGAACAGAATTAAAGCCACGATCACGGCAGCTACCCCGACTATTGCCCCGACTACGCTTCCTACAGTAGACCCCGTGTCAGAAGGTTCCGATAATGGTTCAAACTGCCCTTCGTTTCCTGGCTTCTGAAATAAATATATTGAAAAAAAATATCTTAAAAGAGGGTCACAAAGTTTCAAAATTGATTAGACAAATAAATGTTTTATTTTAGAAAAAAGAAGGAAAATATCTGGTAGATTAACTTGGCCAGTGACTACTTCATTTTAATTAATAATTATAAGGACAATGAACTTTTAAAGTTTATTTCAAAATCACCGCCGAAAATTCTATAATTAAATTTTGAAGTGCAGAATTACAATTGTGTTTCCATCAATCGTGTACGCACGTGCATGTTGGAAACAGGAAATGTTACTAGAACTCTAAATTAATGTATTTACCGCCCCAATACTGTAAAATATATAAATGTTGTATAAAAGTTGGCGATTTCTGCATACTTACCTCAGAAGTCTTTGTCGCTGAAGCTTTTGTCACTTTAATCGGGTCCAAAATCTTCGTAGTTACAGACACCGGAGCTGGAGGCTTTATTGTGCTTACCTTGGTTGTTACTGGTATAGATTTCTTAGTTGTCGGCACTGGAGTTGGCTTTTTCGTGGTTATTTTTATAGTGGTTTGACTGGCAGCCTTTGTAGAAGGTTTTGGTACCGGAACTGAACCTTTAGTGGTCCCGGTGTTGGGTTTGGTTACCGGTACTTTTACAGTAGAACTCAACGGACCTGATGATGGCGGGACAGCTGAAATGTTTAAAAACATTTAATACAAGTTATATTAGAATCCAATTTGAAAACATCGTCTGTGGATTGATATACTATTTGTTTAGAAACAACTGCATGTGTACTTACAGATTCCAGCATCTGAATTTCAACCAGGAACTTTAAAATAAACAATCAGTGTTCAGTTATGTACGGTACATGTCCGGGAAACGGAAATCTCATCTTAAGAACGACCAGAACTTTGGTAACCACCGAAAGTTTTCTATGTTAATATGTTTGTGAACGTTTCTCTGTTTTATATTATGTTGAAATGTGTTTCTTTATTCTATTTATAAGTCATAATTTGCATAACGTTCCAGTTTGAAAAAAAAGTAAAATCACGTTGTTTGTATGTCCCCGTTGTTCCTGTTAGTTAACATACATGAATCGCATGTACCACCCGATTAATTGTAAATACAAATACACATTTGAGCCGTGTCACGACAAAACCAACATAATGGGTTTGCGACCAGCATGGATCCAGACCAGCCTGCGCATCTGCACAGTCTGATCAGGATCCATGCTGTTCGCTAACCAACCATTTTACAAGTAGAGAAACTGATAGCAAACAGCATGGACCCTGATCAGACTGCGCGGATGCGCAGGCTGGTCTGGATCCATGCTGGTCGCAAACCCATTCCGTTGGTTTTGTCGTGACACGGCTCATTTTATTCTTCTGATTAATGTACTTTAGAACGATCATTATCAAGCTCCAAACAAATATGCAACCGATTTCTAACACCATTTAAAATAAGTGACTTAAATTCATCTGTCTTATAAGAGGACTTAAAATCATGAAATGATTTTCAACATCATATCAAATTTCTTCTCTTTTTATACTTACTCGCGGGTTTTTGTGTCGTCGGTTTCTGAGAAGCGACATCTGCCGGCGTCGTCACGGTATATGTTGTGGATGTTATGTCTGTCGTCTGCAAATTTGAGTGCAAATTTTGAAAACAATATAACTTTGCAACGACAGCGTGAAATAATAGATGACTACTATTGAATTCGCGAAACTAAATGTTATTTTGCGCCTCTTTGAGATGGTGGTATGATACATACAAATGTATACATATTTATCAGTTATATCTGACACAGATTTTTTTTGCTCTTGCATTTTCAGATCAAGATTAAAAATAGCCAAATTTCAAGTTGTTTATTAATATCATTGACTTTATTGAAACTACAAATGATTCTAGAACAAAGCGTGCCTGTGACAATTGCGGGAGTTTTCACCATTAAGGCAGACGACAATCCGTGCATTTACTTAACGTAGGCCCCTATTTAAAATCTAGTGCATTTTGCTGCTGTGAAACATCAACAGAATTGAAAGTATGAGAGAAAGAATATTTCACATAGATATAAAAATTCAAATGTCCATTTAAAACAGTTTTATTTGAAAGACATTTTACAATCATTTCTTTAAAAGCAAGAATTTCTAATTCGATTTCTGAGCAAACGACTTGGCCTCAAGGCCCGGGTCCTTACCGTGTCTCCACAATGTTCGAACCATTCGTCTCCAGAATGCTTTGATATAACCAAACATTCGCAATTCTGGAAGTATAGAATAGAGCGAGAATTGAAAAGACACGTTAAGAATATTTCCCACAATGCTTTCATTTGGGCAAAAGTTCCGCGATCTCAACAGAATCTTACAATCTCGCGCGTTCCGGGAAAAATGAACAAGGTACGGCAGTAAATAATCATACAAACTATGCGGGTTTTTATATAAAGGAAGCAAGTTCTATTTTGAAATAAAACCGTATATTATATGGAGTTCTATTTACAAGAAATTGTCTACCAGAAAGTTAATAAAAGTCTTACCGTTTCTGTAAGAACCTTTGGCGCTGAAATTAAAAACAAATACAGTTTTTGAAACCTTTTAATTCCTAGATAACTGGTCTCATTTCAATTTTCAAAATGACTACATCAAAAGAAATAATCCGTTTGAACCGAAAACTGAATGTAGATGAAAAATTATCTTAAAAGCAACAACAAAAAAAATAGTAAAGTAATAATTTCAACTCAAAATTATCCATATAAATTTTCTTACCAGATATAATTAAAACAACAAGTGCACATAAACGCATCGGATTTACAACCTTAAATGTCGTCTGCGCGTTCATATCTGAACAGTTTTGAATGTCTGAATTTCTGAAAGTCTTGGTTAATAATGATTTGCACGATGCAAATAAATCCAAATGATTCTACCAGTTGAAATTTCGTTTTGCAGAGGAAACGTGATTTTCCAACATACTCATTGAATGACCGCTTAAAAGTTAATCAATAAATGTTCTTTTCTCAATATCAAAAGAATTGATGAATTTAAACATTACTGTGGCCATGCTAGCATTCCACAGTGCCAGTTTCAAAGTCAATAGAAACGGTCATCTTCCCTGTATATTAAATCTAAATTGAAAATTTCAAAGTTTGATGGAAGTCTATTGTATATTTTACCTTTAAAATAGTTTAACTGTAGTTCGATATCTTTGTATGAAGCCTTTGATTGTCCACACAAAAAGGCAATTTCTGACAGAGGGGCGTGGCTGTACGGCTTAATAGAAAAAATGGGCGTTGACGATTTGGTTTTGTTACATTTCATTGCATGTTAACGTAAACAAAGTTGCCACGGACAAACAAATTTAATAACCGCAACATACGTTGGTTTAAACATTTTATTTCCAAATAATGCAGAAAATTGTTGCTTTTACTGGACATACAAATCAAGCATTGACCCCAGTAATATATATCTTATAATTCAATATGAATTTGAGCAACTGGCTACAATTTTTAAAGCTTTTCTCTTCATTCTTGCTTAAATTAGGTATACTTTTTACTGGAGTTTCAGTCATATTAGGCAAAGTAAAGATCATATGCTTTACAGGTTGAAAAATTCACAGACGCTCCTTAATTCATCACAAGCTTGTGTACCATGGTGTGCCGAGCTGGATATTGTTTCTTACATGATATTCATGTAATATCAAGTTCTTCGAAAGGTTTGAATCCACATTAGTGAGTGGCATAAGATTCGACGAACATTGACCATTCAGGGGTTTGTGACAGGTATAATTATGTCACAAACCCCATGCTCGGCAACTATAAGGTTAAAAACTTCAATACAGAGTATTCCCCACGGGGGTGGAACCCCATATGAATCTCAAAAATGAGCATCGGTAAAAATGATATGTGAATTTCCGCTGCATCAGATGTGAAGCATAACATCAGATGTGACTGGAAAAATAGGCCGATCGCAGGGTAAGTTTTCATCTTTTTAAACATTTATATAAAATTCAATCCTTTTTTTAAGAAAATCGAAATGTGATTCTACCCTCCTGACTCTCCTCTATATTACCCCTTGTTGTTTTTGGATTTCTATGCAGTCTTCATCGAGATATTCTTTCCGTCGTGGGTTCTGGTGTGTCCAAAACATGCAATATGAATGAAGAAATGTCACTAAACGGACTCGAAAAAACATAGATTTTACGAAATTTCACTACAGGTCGATGCTAAACATTCAAACAAATTCTGGTTTAAATATTTATTGAGATTTGGCTACATACAAGGGAATCGCTGCTCAAAATTGCATTTGAGCTCCAGATGTGCTGAAGAGATTCATAAGTGAAAACCATCTACAAAACTACGTACCACTTCCATATAATCATTGAATAGCCAATGTATAGAAACAATATAGGTTTTGCATCTTTGGCTGAAAGTTTAATTGTAACATTAGTATGTTTGATTACCACAGTGACAGAGCTTACTAGCTTATAATAGCATTAGAAATACTAAAAGGCCCGAGTACATGAAAATGTTGACGCAGAGCGGATAGTCCTCTTATGATAAACAATTCACTAATAAATGATATGTAACTTGGACAAACCAAACTGAGAGTAATGAACTTTGTAAAGCTATCGTGTCATATAATATGTTTTCTTTAATAATGTTTACATTCATAAAAATATCTATCACTTTAATATTCCACAAGTTATAGTTATAGCGACAGACTGTTATGTGTAAATATCATGGCCTGGTGCGGCATCGAAGGTTTTTTCTTTACAGGATATGGGCCGAGAACATTGTCTGTAAGGAAAACCCGAGATGCCGCCCAGGTCATGATATTTCTACATAATAGTCGAGTTCGATATATTATAACTGTTTTATCGCATGATAAACAGAAATGAGAATTTTAATAAACATAAAATTTCAATTTATGATTGGCTTTCTCTCCATAAATAAAATTTCCCACCCGAAACCTCGGTTACTTTTTATGTAACCCATGTCATCCATAATGTCTATCTGTTCATTGTAACTGATTTTATTTATCTTTGCAAATCCTTTCTGTGAAGAACATTTCATGGGACTTAATAGTTGTTAATTGAATATTAAGCGTTTTTTCTTTGAATTGGAAAAAGTAATACGTGCACTTTCTGGTGAATTTTTGGACTTTGGAGTCTGCGATACGCGGAATCTTTAGACACATGGGGACAATTTAAAAGGCGTAAAAGGAGATGTAAGCGCTGATGACTTCCTCTTTTAAAACGATACACGTGACGTTTTATTCTTGAAAGTTTTAAACCTTTCCTTTTTGTGCCTAGAAAACGACCCATTTTCCTAAAAATAACAAAAGAAACGAATTACGAAAAAAATTAAGTGTTTATAATTTACAGTGGAATTTACAGTTCCCACTGAAATAACAGTTATAAAGCGGAGAATAAGTTCATTGATCTTTTTGCGTACATGAACATTTTCAGGAAACAATCTATGTTATGAGCTACGCATGTCCGCTAAATACTGTTAAGATATGTTAAAGTTTCTTTAAAACCATTCAAAGAATTACAGAGCAGGCATAAAATTCAGATAGGCAATGACCCATAATTGCGACTGTGGGCATGAAGTGAACCATGTAAATATTCTGCAGGGACGTTTCTTAATGTGGAAAATAAATATGCAAATCTTCTTTGATCTTTTTTTAAAAGTTTATCACTAACTTTCTTACAGCATCATAATAAAATTCAAACACGCTTCACATTACTCTCCTATTAAGCAGACAGTGCAGTCGAGTGAATAATTAATTAATTAATTAATGCATGGTGGCATAAAAGGGGAAGATTGCAGTACACACGACGTCAATAAGTGAAAATAAGCAAGGCCTTCCCACCATATCTACGTATTTTAAAAACCTTTCGTATGCAGAATGTCTTATAATTATATCCTCTTCTATATGGATACTATGTTATTCAAGCTCGTCTCGTGAAAAATGTGTCTATTTCGGATAATAGAATTTATTACAGAATGATACACAATAGAATAAATTCTAGATTGTTGCTAATTTTTCATGCTATGCACATATGAATCTCTTCAGCACATCTGGAGCTCAAATGCAATTTTGAGCAGCGATTCCCTTGTATGTAGCCAAAATCTCAATAAATATTTAAACCAGGATTTGTTTGAATGTTTAGCATCGACCTGTAGTGAGATTTCGTAAAATCTATGTTTTTCGAGTCCGTTTAGTGACATTTTCTTCATTCATATTGCATGTTTTGGACACACCAGAACCCACGACGGAAAGAATATCTCGATGAAGACTGCATAGAAATCCAAAACAACAAGGGGTAATATAGAGGAGAGTCAGGAGGGTAGAATCACATTTCGATTTTCTTAAAAAAAGGATTGAATTTTATATAAATGTTTAAAAAGATGAAAACTTACCCTGCGATCGGCCTATTTTTCCAGTCACATCTGGTGTTATGCTTCACATCTGGTGCAGCGGAAATTCACATATCATTTTTACCGATGCTCATTTTTGAGATTCATATGGGGTTCCACCCCCGTGATTCCCCTTTCCCGTTGAAATTCGCTGCGTTGAAGTGTTTTTCTTCAACTATAGTAGGTGACAACTAAAACAAGATTTAATTATAATGTATTATCCTAAGAGTTAAACTATATAACCAGAGACTATACATGTGTATTTGTAATGATTATTTTTCTGTTTTATTTATTTATTTTTATAATCATTTTTGTGGCGCTTTTCTCTAATATTTGCTGTTTTAACTGTCATATCATTTTCTCATTAATACAAAACATGAATGAACGTGAGTAAAACTTATGTACTCCTCCAAACGATTATTGTGTTATGCATGGGCAATAAACAAAATCAGTATATTAAATGTGTTTTCTTTAACCGTGTTGTATTTATCATTCTGTCACCTGCTGGACCCAGACGTGATTAGTCTTTGCCACAACTTTTGAGCCAGACCAGCCGGCATTTCCGTACAGTCTGACCAGGCTCTGTACTGCAGACTCTCATTTTTTATCTTGAAATCTCCAAAACTAATACTAGTAATGGACAGTTCCGAAAAAAGGAGGCTGGGCAAGTCCATTTCAGAAATTCAACATTTGATGAGAGCATTTAAAGGTTAAAAAGGGAGAGTGAGGAAAATAAACACTATTTCAAAGTATAAGTGCCATTTAAAAGCGCTATTGTATACAAATATAAAATAAAATTTAATTTCACTTCCAAAAAAATTAGGTTCAAATTTTTTAAAGCCCTAAGTTTGAAAATTTTACATAGATAAAATCGAGGCACTTTAAATGGAAAAAATTAGAAAAAGATATAAATAAAGAAATATACTCAAAATTAAAAAAAAAATTGGTAAGAAATATGCTCAAAATTAATAAATAGCGCGATATTTATGTAGCCCACCTTTCATTTGTAGGTCATTTTGCACAATAACAAGAGACACCGCAAAGCGGGACTAGGCTCGACATTTTCTTATTTCTATATCAAATACATCCTAGAAAGAATTTAAAAGTAAAGAATTATCCAAGAAAAAATTTCTTGTACAAAATAAAATTAAAATTTAACTTATTATTTGATCTTGGCAGCCGACAAACGGCATACTTTAATTATTCAACTCTATGAGTGCTGAAGCACATGTTTTTTTGTCATAGTATCATTATGAATCAAATATGCTCACTAAAATTAACGAATAAGTATGAAAAATATAAATCTTGACCATGATAGACAAGCTCAGTTTGAGGTCAAAGTCAAATTTGAAAAATAAAACATTTCAGGTCTTGACGATAAAGGTCATTTAATGTTCGAGATCATATTTGGAATATTCATCATTTAATTTTGTCTTAAGTGTCCTTTTATCCAAGAATAATCAAATCTGTAAATAAATAAAAAGTTATGTCAATTTAAGCATAATACGATAATTTGACCTTGGTGGTCAAGGTCAGAGAAAAGGTCAAGCGCATTTTTTTTCATAATGTTGTTTAGTCTAAAAAAAAACCATAAATGATCAAGGTCATTGATGAGTAAAGCTCACAGTCAATTTGGTCCTCGAAAAGGTCTTGTCTAAATTATTGTTAAATCCAAGAATAATACACTTCAGATCCTGTAACACAATTTGTTTCTGGTTTTAAATCATAAATATGATGCTCAAATTAAGATTTATCAATATTGTAGGTTCTAAAAAGCATTATTTATAAAGATAGATCTATTACCAAATTTAACATTTCATGTAAATAAAGGGAGGTAATAAAAACTTTATTTTCTTTATTGTTTAAGTCAAATTTTACAATAAGAAATGAATGCATACATGTATATATGTAATTTCACTTAGTCTGGAACACCACTTTCACTTCTCACATCCCCTCGGAGCGTGCACGTCGCTGAGAAGGCACAGGGCATCGGCAGATGATGGAAGTTCGAGTTATAATCGTTTAAGGCGGCTGCTTCGTTAAGTTAGCTGCCGGTGTCCTGACTAATGCCGAGGGGAGTGGCCCTACAAAGTAGGCTGAGACGACGAGGATGGTGTACTAGGGTGCGTGAGCCCCTAGTACAGATAGACGGCTTGTAAGGCAGGCCTATAGCTGGCACCAACAGTCCTTTTCAGGGCTAAACACCTTTCCTATTGTCACAGGTTACTGTACATTTAGGTTCTCATTGACCGCGGGTATAGATGGATACCGAAAATAAGCTATTTTCGCGAAAATAAGATCGCGGCTACGAAAATAAGATTTATTTTTGAAATAGTGCATTTATCTGTTGAAATAATTATGTAAAATATATATTTATGCATTCATTGAATGATTTTACAGCAAATAAAATTTCAGAACCAAAAAAAAATATTTAAAAAAGTGAAGTTTGAGCCGAAAATACTATCGTACGAAAATAGCTCAAATTGCCGTGTAAAGCGAAAATAAGATCGGGTCTTCGAAAATAAGATTTATATTTGATATCAGGTTAATATACGTACTTGTTGATATAATGTATTAAAAACGTATTTTTTGTTGTTAATAATTGATTTGTATGAATGAAATAATAAATTTCAGAAACAAAAAAAATATTATAAAATGTGAAGTTTGAGCCCAAAATACCATCGTATGAAAATGGCTCAAATTGCCGTATAAAGCGAAAATAAGATCGGGTCTACGAAAATAAAAGATTTATCTTTGATATAATGTATTAAAACGTATTTTTGTTGTTAATAATTGATTAGTATGAATGAAATAATAAATTTCAGAAACAAAACAAAATATTATAAAATGTGAAGTTTGAGCCCAAAATACCAGTTTCAGTTTATTGGCAAATCGGCATATACAATATAACTTTGGCCATTTACAATATACAAAAGGATGGCCAAGATAATACAATTTACATTTAACATAAATACAATAATACAATACAGTTATAAAACAAGAACCTAAGAAGCAGCAATAATTGCAAGTTTTTCATTTCTCAAATGCATAGCATAAAATACAAATTTGGCAATATTCCTTATACAGTTGTTTAGGCAGTAGCGGATAGCTAAGGAGATCGGCGCTGCATATGTCTTTAATAATAATATTCAGAAAAAAAAATTGATACCATTCAGTAGTCAAACTACTTCCCTTTTTAAAATAAAATATTTTTAGCAGTATCTTTGACATTACATGTAGTACTCTTTGTTTATGTTCGGCATATAGTTCAGTTAGTAGCGGATAGCTTTGGGGAGTATGGGATAGGTAGGTGAAGGTCAATGAGAGTGAGTCTCAAAACGTTCTAAATTTAGTATTTACAAAGTACATGTCACAGAAACATGTTTTGGGGTTACTGGAATGAAAAATGTTACATTTGATAGTAATCTTTCAAATTTTTCTACAAGTAAATTAATATATAAATAAATATCTGGTCAACAACTTATGATGTAGTTCTATTATTATTTGAAGACAATAATCTAGTAAATTTATTAATGCATGGAAAAGAATAATTAACATTATATTTTCGACGAAGGTTTCTATAGAGTGGACAGCATAACAAAAAATGATATTCAGATTCAACATTAAGTGAACAAACTTTATAAGTTCGTAGGTTTCGATCAATACCTGCAAATCTACCACTTTCAATTACAAGAAGATGGGAACAGAGTCTAAAACGAGACAATTCTTTTCTTTGATGCTCATTTGTAACAATATCTAGATACTTTTCATATTTAAACTCACATTTGAATTTTCTATAATAATATAACTTAGATTGATTCATTATTGTATCATTCCATGTTTGAACGTACTGATCACGCAGCCTTTGTTTTTCGCGAAAATAGCTTATTTTCGGTATCCATCTATACCGCTCATTAAGCTTTAACTACATACATACATGGAACACCACTTGGATCACAACATACAAGATCTACAGGATACAGAAGTCATAAATAACAAAGTTATAGCCATTATACATGTAGAAAATTACTTCAACATTATTAATTTTTTTATTTGGGCATTTTCCTCCAATTTACAAAGTTGGCAATGCATTATTCTGACAGACATTATCAAGGTTAAGTCACACGGACACTGTAAATGTAATTCCCCTTGTTGTAGGTATCATTCTGCACAATTTTCATGTATGAGGTAGTAATTGAGCTAGTTGGACCAACAGCAGGGATTTGAGTCCACAGCTGAAAGGAATAAGTGATTAAGTAAGTGACTTTTACCACTGAGGCTTACTGGGCTTGCCCAACTGTGTTGCCTCAGGAAATGAAGGCTTTACATTCTTACTTACTGAACACTCTGCAACGAGCATTCTGATACACAGTAAAAGGTAACAAGAGCTGTCACAGGAGACAGCGAATTCGACTAATAAAATAGTGGACGCAGTAAGGACGACAAAACTATGAGAGAAAAATTAGGAACATAATTATATTTGAAGTACGAATGTGATCCCTTAAGAAATAAATATGTAGAACTTCGGTAAATCGAAGTTGTAGGGACTTGCGTAAACTTCGACCCATCAGGACTTTGACTTATGAATAGGTCTCAATTTGATGACAAAATTTCGAGCCGTTTATGTATACAAGCAAGTTACAAAGGTGAAAAAATATTTTACTACACCAAAACTTTAATCTGAAATCTGGACGCTGGGGCGAGTAGGACCTAAACAGTAAAAGAAATTATTTCTCATATTTATTAATTTTGCAGAACTACATTATCATTATAGTTAACATATCAATTGGACATAAAAAATATATATAAATAGTAGTACATAAACATCTAACAAACGCATATGCACGCACACACGAACGCACATACACACCTAAACATTCATATAGTGTATATATATTAACTGACAAAAATAATAGCAACATTCCAAAAATATGAAGATAAAATCAAATTGCATAGATTTAAAGTGCAACTTCAGCTCAATAATGCATATTTTTTAATTTATTTAAAAGTCAATGCTTTTCGATGTTAAGAATTCATTTCAATGTTTCAATATAAAAATATTTGCTATCAATATTTCTGACAGGTTACGTGGCCATATATAAATGGTTGTTTGCAATATAACCATTGCTACATTTCAAAACAACTGTTTCTATAGGGCCATATAACCTGTCAAAAATCTTTATAACATACAGGTTTAAGCTTATATAACCCCACCATTAACCCACTTTGTTAGGTTAGGGTTATATAGCTAACAGCCATTAATATACAGCCGCAGCTAATGTTAGCCATATAATGATATAACATGTTAAAAGTCTTAATAATAAATATATAGAGGATTTTTGTTTAGTTCTGTGTAAGATCAGAATATATTTCACCAAGTGAGCATCAAAAGGTTTATTTCACAAGTGACGCAGCCACAAGTGAAATATGAACTTTTGGTGTTCACGAGGTGAAATATATTTCCATCTTTCACTAAACTAAACAAATTTTCTTTTTATTATATGCAAAGAAACATTTAAAAAGACATTTTAACCTAGTACTAAATGAAAAGTGCACCAAATAATTATGCAATGTGACGTCATTTACTATGTCACATCATTAAGTTGGTTTTCAGTACATGTGCAAGCTGGTATAATACTGAAACAACGAAAATGGCTTAAATTCAAAACAGTGAAAATATCAAATTGATAATTTCACTGTTTCAAACAGTGAAATTATCAGTTTATATCTCACTGATATATTTCTGTAAAACACTGAAAAGCATGAAATAAATAATTCTCAACAATTTCTACCTTTGATTAAAATTGATACTAATTCATAAATCTGATGCAGTTGTGAATATAAGAAAATATAAACATTATGACTGTCAAATGAAAACTGATGTTACAAACATCCAGCATTAAAAAAAGTATATATATATATATATATATATATATATATATATATATATATATATATATATATATATATATATATATATATATATACAAAAATGTATATATACATATATCACTAAGTTAACAGATTTAAGTAACAACTTGTTTTCATTTCTTCTTTTCTTTTTAAATAACAACTTTGAATGCATCTGTGAATATGTTAACAAACAGTGTGGATAATTGTGTCATGATCAAAATTGCATACATGTACTTATCAAGATATGTTATAGAATTACATTAGAAGTTGCTTAGCTTGTAAGTTTTAAATTAATCTATTGCATTTTGTCTGAACATTTTATTTTGTCCTCACTGATTTCCCAAACTTTCTTTGCAAGGTCAAGGTCACTAGCTGGCTTACTCCAAGGCTCCTTCTTGAAGTTACCATAGTAACAGTCAGATTGACCTTGAAGTTCTGGGGCAACAGCACAATACACCACGGTCTGACAGCCTTCTCGTGCTGATTTGATCAACAAAAAATACAATGAGTAAAGTAAGGCATACAGAGGGAATCCGAAAATCTGAAAGTATCGGTTGTACAATATGGTGTATCGTCCAAGTCTTGTTCTAACCATGCCAGGATGCATTGAGTATACACAAATTTTACCATCTTTTCCAAATCTGTTATGAAATTCTCTTGCGAAAAGGAGATTCATTAATTTACTGTCAGCATACGGTTTTCCTTGTTTGTAGTTTTCTTCACTGTTGAGGTTTTCCAATCTCACTGTACCATATTTATGAAGAGCAGACGACACAAAAACTACCCTGCTGTCTTCTGCTTTGTAAAGTAAGTCTTTTAATAAGTTTGTAAGCAAGAAGTTTCCGAAATGATTCACAGCTAAATGGTTTTCAAAACCATCTTCAGTCAGAGAAAATGGACAATTCATGACACCAGCATTGTTTATAAGAACATCTAGTTTGGGTTCAGTTTTGTTGACATCACTACAAAACTCCCGTACAGATTTGAGTGATGCCAAGTCTAACTTTTTTGCCAATACATCAGTGTTTCCGGTAATTTTACTTATCCTGGTCGCTGCTGTTTGAGCTTTACCTAGATCTCTACATGCTAGGATAACCCTAGCTTTCCTGCCTGCAAGATTCAGGGCAGTCTCGTACCCAATACCACAGTTCGCTCCTGTAACAATAACAGTTTTACCAACCATAAGAGCTCTACTTGGACATCGAGTTCGAAAATACAAAACAGCTCGCCTTACTGCCAATAAAGTCACTCCTGGAATTAGAATATAAAATATAATTTAGAAATATAAAGAAACATTTCAGAGGGGTTAAAAATCCAAATAACATTCTTTATTGTTTGTTTGTTTGTGTTTATGGCAATATTTCAGTCATATCGAGACTCAGATCGGTAAATGTCCTATATTATGTTTAGTCTCAAGTAACTACCAAGTTCTTTACAAGATTATTTATAGAAACATAAAAAAATGCAAAAAAATAAAGGAGCACTTTAATAAACAAGCAATTATCATAGTATTGCAAGCAATCCATAAGTCCCCTACCGGTTAGAACCCCAGCAACATTCTGGAGGGCCATTCACTTATGTTTCTAATTTGTTGAAAAAGTTCTTTAAAAGTGATAATAGGAAACAGTTTTTTATGTACAGACAGACAGACGGACTGAAGGACACTCTAAAGTTATTTCTTTAAGCATCCCTGTTATCAAAATATAACATTTTTAAAAGCAAAATTCTTAAAAAGGAGATAACTCTTGAAATAAAGATGCAAGACGTCATACATGATGTGAGTGTAACAAAGAACAATTAGTAATGAAGGTGTTGATAATGAATGTTTTTTTTTAATTTGAAGTAAAAGAAAGTGAAAAGAATAAATGAGAAAAATTCAAAGTTTAAAGAGGAGATAATTCTGGAAATATGGATGCTAGATTTATAAAACTTGTCATATTATTATGATGTGGGAGTTTGAAGAAAATCCTTTAATGATTGAAAAGTTGGAGTAAAAATTACCAATTTCTCAAAAAAAGTGTAAGTTGAAAAGGAGCATAATTCTATAAATAGTCTAGCTAGAGTATTGAACTTTTTCACAAATGTTGAGTGATAATAAGAAACATAGATATGAAGTTTGAAGTAGATACATTCAGAAAAAAAGAAGTTATTAAAAAAAAAAAACAATATTTTTTTCATGAAAATTCTAAGTTCAAGGGAGGAAATTCTGATAAATTTTATGCTAGAATTGAAAACCTTGTCACATATGATGTGGTTGATGACTAGAAACTTATATTTAAAGTTTGAAGAAAATACCTTAAGAAATAAAGAACTTATAGTGAAAAAATGTTAAAACTAAATCTTGAAATTCAGTCTATTTGTTGCCATAGCAACCAGAATTTTCAACATAGGAAGAAAAGAAAAAGACGTGCATAATGTCCATACTGCCATCTATCCATATATCAAGTTTTAAAAAAAATATGTTCAGTACTTTTTGCGTTATCGCGGGATCCAGTTTTGTGGACGGACTGACGGACGGACGGACGGACAGACGAACAAGGCGCCGACTATATGCTCCCCCGAAATTTTTCGGGGAGCATAATTACAAGTTGTATTTGATGAGTTAGCAGATAATATTGAAATTAATAAAAGTGACCCTGTAGCCAAGGTTCTTGCTCTCAGGACAAGAAAACGAGCTGTATTGCTTGGAACTGCCAGGATTTCAAACTATGTGGAAGAAACTGTGCCATTTTCAGCTATCCTTTGTTTCTAGCACATTTCCGTAACTATGACAAGAGTGTCATTTTGAGTAAAAATACTTTAATTTCATCAAACGCTGTAAACAAAATTATTGACACAACAAAATTGAAATATTAGCAAACAAATTTAATATCAAAAGTGAGATTTAAAATGCCAGGACAACATTGTCAGTATCGAAACAGAATTCTTAAGACTTTGTACCATGGAGACCTTGTTCCACGAGACTGATATTTTATTTATCATAATCGATTATCATTGGAACACCAAGTGAAAGTTTAATTTCCCTGCTTTATGGCAAGAGTAAAGGCTCTCTACATTATTACTTGGGAAATTTCTGCAATATACTGAGAAGTGAAAACATTCTTCCCCAAACTTATATCATGGCCTGACAAGCAACAATATGGAGATATAGTCAACAGGTTTTTCCAAAGACAGGGTTTCTCAAGGGTTATTGGTGCCATATATTCCAATAACAGGACCTTCTGAATTTAGGGATTTTATTGCATTTCACCTCCAGGGTGTATGTGACAGCTGTCTTAAATTTCTGGATGTGTATTTCGCATACCCTGGATCAGTTTATGGCGCAAAAATTTTCAGGAATAGTTCCTTGCATGACCATTTGCAAAAGGACTGTCCGCAAGCATTTCACCTTTTAGGGGATTCAGCTTATAGCTTTTCATCAATTTTGCTTGTACCATTTACAGACAATTGCCACCTTACCAGTGAGCAAAAGAAGTTTAATTTTGCCCACAGCTCTACTAGGGTGGATATAGTAAAGTGTTTTGGATTGTTAAAAGGAAAGTTTCATAAACAAGCAATTATCATAGTATTGCAAGCAATCCATAAGTCCCCTACCGGTAAGAGCCCAAGCAAAATTCTGAAGGGCCATTGGCCATTCACTTATGTTCCTATTTTAAGTAAATTTGTTGAAAAAGTTCTTTAAAAGTGATCACAGGAAACAGTTTTTATGTACAGACAGACGGACTGAAGGACACTCTAAAGTTATTTTTTAAACATCCCTGTTATCAAAATATAACATTTTCAAAATCCTATCATGATTGAAGAAGTTGGAGTAAAAATTACCAATTTCTCAAAAAAAAGTCTAAGTTCAAAAGGGGCATAATTCTGGAAATAGCCTTGCTAGAGTATTGAATACTCACAAATGTTGAGTGACAATAAAAACATTTATACGAAGTTTGAAGTAGATACATTCAGAAAAAGAAGTTATTAAAAAAAACAATGTTTTTTTCATGAAAATTTTAAGTTCAAGGGAGGTAATTCTGATAAATTTTGTGCTAGAGTTGTAAACCTTGTCACATATGATGTGGTTGATGACAAGCAACTTATATTTAAAGTTTGAAGAAAATACCTTAAGAAATAAAGAACTTAGAGTGAAAAAACTTAAAAACTAGAATCAGAAATCTTGAAATTCAGCCTATTTGTTGCCATAGCAACCAGAATTTTCAACATAGGAAAGATAAAAAAGGATGTGCATAATTTCCATACTGCCATCTACCCATATGTCAAGTTTCATAAACATATTTTCAGTACTTTTTGTGTTATGACTGGATCCAGGTTATGTGTAAAATTTGCCATATTTTCAGTCTATTTGTTGCCATAGCAACCAGAATTTTCAACACAGGAAGAAAAGAAAAAGACGTGCATAATCTCCATACTGCCATCTATCCATATATCAAGTTTCATAAAAATATTTTCAGTACTTTTTGCGTTATCGCGGGATCCAGGTTATGTGTAAAATTTGCCATATTTTCAGCCTATTTGTTGCCATAGCAACCAGAATTTTCAACATAGGAAGAAAAGAAAAAGACGTGCATAATCTCCATACTGCCATCTATGCATATATCAAGTTTCATTAAAATATTTTCAGTACTTTTTGCGTTATCGCGGGATCCAGTTTTGTGGACGGACGGACTGACGGACGGACAGACGGACGGACGGACGGACGGACAGACGGACAGACGGACGGAGGGTAAACCTAAAGTCCCCTCCGGTAAACCGGTAGGGGACTAATAAAATCATGTGCTAAGAAACAGACTTTAATAAATAAAATCATGTGCTAAGAAACAGACTTTAATAAATAAAATCATGTGCTAAGAAACAGACTTAAATTCCTTATCATTATCCAATATTTTGAATTTGAAACAAGCAACAAGTAAAATTTGTAAGCCAATGGAAACTATAAAACCAATACCTGCAATTCCAACACATAATGCAGCATTCTGTATGTTACCTTTCCAAGACATGACTCACTTTCTAGTCTGAAAACAAGAAATGTATTAGATATATAAACCTTCAAGAATTACTAAAGACAAAAAATAATTATTGCTTGATTTCTCTGATAACAGTTTCATAGTCTCTCATTATTTTGTGAACTGATAATGGAGCTGCATTGTACATGCACAAAAATGCCAGTTTTGGTTTACTCATTTATAGGCATAAGATAGAAGGTCCCTTTCATCAATTAAAATGTTACCTGAAGTAAGAAAAGAACAGGCAATATATTTTATCACACACAAGTGACACATTCATTGTACCATTAAGTCTATCTCAGTGATTATTAAAGGTGTTTATAAATTCCTTTCCCAAAGAGCACATGAGTTGAGATACCTGGAAAAATGGATTGATGTGTAAAAAAGAGATATTTTCTTAAAAAGTAAACACTATCTGGATATCAGTGAAACGTATTTTCCAAATATCAGTAAAAACATTTTCAAAATCTAGCTTTCACTATCGCTGCACTTTTAAATATATTTCTTACATCAGATGATACAATAACAAAAGTTCAACAATCAATTATTCATTATAATATTAGGAGGCTGTCAATTCACTTTTGATATACAATATGTTATATGAATATAAATCATTAAAAAAAATCTATAGTGTTGTTTCTCATTGCAAAACAAAAATATTATAAAATTTAATAATGACCCTTCATAGTCTCAAGTGACCAGTGGCATTCTTGTGTGCCACTTGGGCATTGCGGTGGGTCACTTGGGCATTGTGGTGGGTCACTTGGGTAATGTGGTGGGTCACTTGGGCATTGTGGTGGGTCACTTGGGCATTGTGGTGGGTCACTTGGGCAGTGTGGTGGGTAAATTGGGCAGTGTGGTGGGTCACTTAGGCAATGTGGTGGGTCACTTGGGCAATGCGGTGAGTCACTTGGGCATTGTGGTGGGTCACTTGGGCATTGTGGTGTGCCACTTGGGCAATGCCTTGGGTCACTTGGGCAATGCTGTGGGTCACTTGGGCATTGTGGTGGGTCACTTGGGCATTGTGGTGTGCCACTTGGGCATTGTGGTGGGTCACTTGGGCATTCCCAGTCAGCAGAAATACAGACTATGACACTGTGAAGTGACATCACAACAGTGCAATAAAGGCTGGATAATGGGAAGTCACACTCAACAATTGGAAGCGACATTAACATAATGTTTCACTCTTTACTTTACACTATTGTCGGCTGTTGCTTCCAATTGTTACATCACTTTGCTTTGTCAAACAGCATTTTGAATCGTCAGGATGTTGCTTGGACCATTCAAGCTAGTCTAACATATTAGATGTTACAGGCTTGTTATAGTTTATGATTGATGGTCACGCGCGATGTATCTCTGCCAAGAAGGAAATTAAAAGTATCTCAAAGCAATGTCATATTTATAGGACTCAGGGCTCTAGCTAGACCAAAATTTTAGGGAGAAGTGACTTCTCCCCCAGCAGTGACTTCTCCCTCAGCTCCTATCAGGGAGAAGTTTGAAGAAATATGGCGCATTGAGTTGATCTATAAAAAGATGTTTCATCTATTTACTCAGTAATATTAAATGCAGATTTTTTTTTTTTTTTTTATATTTAGTATTTTTTTTTAATTCAACAAGTCTTATTTTGCATTAATAATTAGATATAAGGGGGTTAAGGCCTAAAGTAAATGGACAGAAATCAAGTGGTAATCATCTGATGGTCTGTCTTTTCAATGAAATAAAACCAAAAATTACCGACCTTCAATCTTTTTTTTTTTGTGACCGCTATTCAAAGAACATCAAAGAAGCTGCTGACTTTTAACTCGATGCAAACTAACAGTATAAAGCCACTGTTGTCTATTTATTTATAAGTAAATTTACATGGTCCGTTTGACATTGTGTGTAGTTACTGTCAAATATGGTAAGACTAATTGCAGGTGTAAACTTTTTAAACTGGCTGATTAAAAATTTGCAGGTGTCAAATTTATGCCCAATTTATTGTGATGTTTTGATCTGCAAAATAGAGGGCAATCATTTCGGATTGATCTGCATATCATGTCATAAATGTGTTAATTGTGGTCAATTATCGGCAGTAACAAGTTGCACCTGGAGGCGAGGATTAGATTTATTGACAAGCATTGTGTGATACGTAAAGATTAGTACATGCAGTAAGAAAAAAAGCATGGTGAAGTCAATTTCGCTTTGATGTTCAAACTCGGCACAGTTAAGAAACTTTAAGCTACTAAGTTGCCCAGTTGCGCGAGTCCTGGGACTATGTTGAAGTATGTCAGATGAGTATCAGGTTATTGATGTCTCTATGTCTCGATAAGGACACTAGCTATAGTGATCAGAAGTAAAATTGAAGAACATGCTCAAAGTTTACCATACATAATGAATTTATTAGACTCCTTATTAGTAATACAAAGATTCTGTTACCAAGTCATTTTAATGTGGTAAATTATAAAAGGCTGCTACATATGTAAGGTATAATTGAGCCAAACAAATTGTGGGCTTTTGGGCTTTTTATTATATAGATGATGGTCGCCCTTTGTAAAGACCGACATCTCTATGTAATACATGTATGATATATGTCTTTGTATCAGATTGCAAAATTGGTCTATCTAGCAGTTGAAATATTGTGACTAAGATAATTGTATTCTAGTACTGTCAAAATATTTTGACGCATTTGACATGCCAAAGCTAGATTCTCAGATATTTTTGTTCTGGGTCAGAGGAGCGATATTGCCCATACACAAAATAGCATAATATCTGAACGCGTACAATTAGTTGGACTAAAATGTATTCATGGACATGGTAGATTATGATAATTTTATCAATTTGGTTAAAATTTGCAAGTAGTTGACAATCTTCATCCCGGTTGACAATCGTGATCCAAGGGTGAAAGGAATTTATGTATCAATAGATATACTCACAATAAAGTGACAGTATCTTTCTTAGTTATAATACTTTGGAGCGGTTGAATCTGGAAAATAAAATAATACAATGACCGGCAAGGTTAAAATCTACCCCGACACCGGAATATTAGGCTTGATTGATTAAAATTCATTGCATGGGAAAATATTCACCGACCTCAAATAGATTTGACAAACTCATAGGCTATAATACTATTATCTAAAAAATAAAAAGAGACATTAAAACATACATTGTAAATCGTGTATACATTTGACACGTGTTAATAACATAGCACATACGAAATTTTACTCGGTTCATCCATTTTGAAATTTATTTGAAACCAAGAATCAAACAGAACAACCACCAGAACAACGTTACAGATTTTGAACTTCCGTATTTTGGTCTGTGTAGTGTTTGAGAGACACTGATAACATGTTTAGTGTGAGAAGACACTTTGTCAAAGGTATGTATGTTGTATTGTAAAGAGACTATGCGTAATTGATGTCGTGCATGTGCCAATGAACTGCCCTACAGTAGCTGATATATTTCCCCTGTGCCCTTACAGGAGTCTTTTATCAGCTGAAGTTTGTCTTTATCACTGACACTGTTGTGTTGATTATTTTAATTAAATTATAATTTTTTACAATCAAATAATACAATAGATCAAAATTTGAAGAATACAGAATTTGCCATTATCCCTTAATTATTATCCCTTTATTAACTTTTTCTATATCCCGGTTACATAAACTAAATTCGGATATATGTGGTAAATCTATGTAACCTCCAAAAATGTTACATTTATGTAGTTGTACGTTTCCTCCATGGTACATAACCTCCGAATTCCTAGGATTCTTAGCAGAAACATAAAGTTTAAATCACAGTACAATCAGTCCATTGCTTATCAGACATTCATCAGACCCCAGTCCACAGCTTGAGTATATGGTTCACAAGTAATGTCATCCCTACACAAAAATACAAATAGATCAAATTGAAAATGTCCAAAGAAGTTCAGTCCGATGGATCATGCTAGATTATGGTCAGACCTCTAGTGTCACATACATGCTTCACTGCCTTAGGACTCAAAAAATGGAACTCAAGAGTTATAGATGCTTGGTTTTGCCTTTTTCTACAAGATTTACCATGGTCTGAATGCTATCCACAGAAAAGAAAATGTGACACCCTTCTGCCGAACATCAACCATGTCCAAATCCTGTGCTATTGATTTTTCACAGCAACCGCAGACTATCATAAACTTTCCTGTTTTCCTAGGACTGTATACCACTTGAACCATGTACACCCTGCAGATGCCCTACTCCATACCTGTGAACAGTTCAGTTAAGCCATAGCATGCATAGAAAATGTCTCACCCTAGTTTTTCAGTCCCTTGTTTTTAACATTTGTCATATTCTACTTTTATTCTTTTCTAAAACAACTCCTACTTTCTTGCAATTTTTACATGCAGTCATGTCTAGATCCCGTGAGGGGTTTGACATTAATGGAAGATAGATAGATTTAACCACAAATGCATGATGTTATTTTTTTCGCTCCATAGCCATAATAGTTCAGAATTGCCTTGCATTTTTATTCCTGAAAACAGGATACAAATATACAAGTATTTGCTAGGAATCATTCAGATTTATTATATTATTTGTCATGTCTGCATAAATTAGGCTTTAGCTGTTAGAAAATAACTTACTATTACCAGGGGCAGGACATGAAGTGGTTGCACATTTGCTTCAAGCAGGCAAAATTAAAATTACATTCAAAAGTATAAAAATTAGGACTTACATGTAATTATCTGGACAATATAATTATGAGTTGGAGTTATAAATTTTTGATGACTCAGTCCCCATTTTGTCAAGTTTGCAACCACTTCGCCCGCTTGAATTAAGTTTGCAACCATTTCATGTCCTGCCCCTAAAATGTATAATATGTCCTTCATGTTGATGCTGTTAATTATTTATTTATTCTATTTATTGTATTTTTGATTTGCATCACCATTTCTGATTTATGATAGTACATGATCCTTTCCAAATGTTGCTTTTAATTTATATACAAAGATTACTCATTTAGACTTTTTATATGCTTGAAGAAACTAAAGGATGTATTATGAAATGGCTTAAGTTTTGAAGATTTTAATGATTGTGATACCATGGTTACCAATAAACAGCACATACTAAATTGAAAAATCTGTTTTGCAATATAATTGCTGTGTAGTTGTGTTTTGTTGATCAGGTATAAGCAGACCCCAGTCTATACTGCCATTACTTGTGAGAGCTATGTCGAGCGAGTCATACACGACCTTGAACGTGACAAGACCAAAGGAATATGTGGTCCATGTGGAGATGAACAGACCAAACAAAAGAAATGCAATGAATGGTGCTTTCTTTAGGTAAGAAATGAAGAAAAATGACAACTTTAAAAATAGAAATAAAGAGTATGAAATAATGTATCATATTTGAAGTTTTTATCAATACCTGGCATCAGATAACACCATGAAGCCTTTTAACCCTTATTCTGCTGGAAGCCTTTGCCGTCAGTAAAGAGCCAGGTCAGACTGCTCTTACCAGAGGCTCTAAACTGTTGTTAGCTCACTAAACGAAGCACTATTTTCAGCTGTCGGTTACCACCACACTTCTGCATGTGTGCTAATTACATCAGATTGCAAAATTAAATATTTTATCGAGTAGTGAAATATCCATTTTGGACTAACACATAAGAGATTTTGGGGACTAGAATTTTGCTTTTCCGATCAAATAGGGCAAGGTTTTTGCCCAACTTCACCCTAAATGCAGTCCCTGATAGCTTATTTAAATCAGTCTTGATCAAACTTACTGTAGTACTGGTGTCGATGTTGAACCTTAGAAGTTGGGCTTAAACTACTTTTTTTTGTTTGTTTAACAGACAGACACCTTAACTACTAGGTCATCTTTTCCCTAAAATGGTCAGTATTTCTTCCAGAATGTCTCAAAGATAAAAAATGATTGTTTTTAGATCATGAAATTTAATTAATAGCAGGTTAATGTTGTCATTGCAGTGAGATTGGGACATGCTTTCAGAAACTATCAGATGACAGTGACTGCAGGGTGATAGTTTTATCTGGTGCAGGGAAAATATTTACATCAGGTATTGTATCTATTGTTCATGTTGCCAATGGTTACCATTAGTCTTCAAGGTCACACGACTATTGACCTGTTTAAGGCACCTTACCATAATAAAGATAAAATTAGTTTTATATTTTATCACATAAACTGCGGCGCAGGAGTGTAATAAAGCCATTTAATAAAAACGATATTACAATAGACGATATTACACTAGTGTAATAACACTTTGACGTCACATCATTTGCGCTATAAACATAGCGTTAAAGCGCGCTAATGTTAGCGTTACACTATAGGCGCATCAAAAAAGAAAAATGACTCTTGATAACAGTTTACCCTTCTTATTTTTTATATGTGGTAAATAGAATATTATATTCGTGTAGATTCAATACTAAATTTATTGAACTCGTTGAATAAAACAATATTATGCTCACCAGAGGCTCGCATAATATGATGTTCAATAAATTTAGTATTAACCTACACTCATTCAATATCCTCTATGTATCAAAGGAATGTCTAACAAAGGTAGAAAAGTTGCATTTTGCTAACCAAAACAATGTAATAAGGTCTTGGTTTTGTGAAAACAGAAGAAATACACACAATTGGGAAGGTTATGAATTATATGATGTAAGATATGACATCAAAAACAAAATTAAATTGAGGAATTACTTGTCTGTTCAAATGTTTTGTCAATGTCTTGATGGTCATTTTTTGTAGGACTCTTCTAAAGACATATGTTTTGCACATATCAAGATTTTACTGAATTATTTCCCTTTGTGAAATTGCAGCATGACTCTTATTTAGATATCAAACACCATGGCCAAAATTACATGAAAAAATGTCAAGCAATAAATCCATGTGACTAGTGATCCTTGTGACATCTCTTTATCACATATAGATATACAATGTACATGTACATATATACATGTTTATACATGTACATGTATTATACTGCAGGGCTTTTTTTCACAGGTTGCGGAAGCAGCCCTGCCCTTAATTTTGGGGAAAAATTAAGTGGTATAATTGCAAAAGGGGAAGAAAAAACTTGATGTAAATTTAATTTTTGGGGAAAACTTCATGATTTTAAAGAATTTTTTTTAGAAGCCGTCCTAAAACGACCCCTGCTACAGAAGGAAAAAAGGTACAGTGCAATTGATCGTAGAAAGGATTTCATGATCAATCACAATGAAACTGACCTGCACTGTCTTGAAATCGAACCCGGGTCACCCGATTCACAGTTAACATGATAAATATATCCAGATCCTATATACAGCTATAGAACATTTTGACACTTACCTTACAATTTTGTACAATGAATTGTTTGCCATTTAGAGATCCTGGTAATTTATCAACTGTTTGATCTGTTAAACGATCAAACATATAATTAGAAGGATCCACTTTAGGTCTCTTATCCCTAGATGAATATATAAAAATAAGTTACCTTAAAATTATATATAAAGAATGTAATTAATGAAAAATCAAGTTCACTCAACATTTTACACAGGTAAAAACAGTCAGTGAACTCAACATTTTACAAAGGTAAAAACAATGCACTCAACATTTTACAAAGGTTAAAAACAGTAAGTTCACTCAACATTTTACAAAGGTAAAACAGTCAGTGCACTCAACATTTCACAAAGGTAAAACAGTCAATTCACTCAACATTTAACAAAGGTAAAAACAGTCAGTGCACTCAACATTTCACAAAGGTAAAACAGTCAATTCACTCAAAATTTTACAAAGGTAAAAACAGTCAGTGCACGTAATATTTTACAAAGATAGAAGCAGTCAGTTCATGCAACATTTTACAAAGGTAAAAGCAGTCAGTAGATGTCTATTTTCAGGACTAGACTTAACGGATTTGGGCACAGTGATTGCTATAAGAGAAAATGAGGACATAGATGTTGGACGGAAGGCAACACAAATGCGAAAATTTCTTACAAAATGGCAAGAAGATTTTAATCAGATAGAAAAGGTAATCAATGTAATGATAATGTTAACCTTTAACCTGCTGGAACCTAAAGTGATTGGCCATTGCCACCAGTATAGAGCTAGGCCAGCCTGCACATTCGTTCAGTCTGACCACGCTCTTTAACTGTTGGTAGTGCAATTTTTGTATTTTGGTATTCGAATCCCATATATTTCTAATGGATTCAGTGTCTAATCTAGGATGGATCTTTATCGAAAAGTGAGAATTTATTACATTTGCTGATCTTTTTCCTTCTTTCTCTTGGTAAAATTTTCCCCCTGCCTCTCAATTCTCAAAAATATGAGTGAATCCCCCAATCTTCCCTCCTAGAATAGACACTGTGGACTGTTCCAAATTCAAAGCACAGCAAGTCCATTACACAAATTCAGGTTAAAAGATATTTTAGAAAACATGTTTATGGAACATTTTCTTTTAAATAAGCATCAAAAACTAATATTAAACAAGGACTTAAAAATCATAACGTATTTCACTGTTAACATTATTGAAAGGATAAAGAAAAGGTATTTATTTTTACTAGTTTAAATGTTTATACATGTATATATTAAATAAAGCTTGATTATAAAGCAAGAGTTTTGAACTTTAATAAACAATCTGCGTCCTGGTTTTACTATACATTCCATAAGTGTAAATACACAATGTATTCTTAGTATTTGAGAGAGAGATGGTGCTGTTCAAGAAATGCAGTACCAGAAGTATAAGCCTTAAAACTATATCTGTAAGGTAGTATGACAGATTTAACTCTTTTTGTAAGTAAATGAATTACTGGTATATATCTGTATGTAAACAAAACATTTTGGTTATATTATAGTGTAGTAAGCCAGTTATAGCAGCTATACACAGTGCTTGTGTGGGTGGGGGTGTTGATCTTACATCAGCGTGTGACATCAGATACTGTTCCGAGGATGCCTGGTTCCAGATAAAGGTACATCTATATAATACTAGACTTATCGTAAGATAAATTTGCACTATTTGGTCCACATAACATTTCATACTTTTTAAAAGTATATTTTATTTAAGTAAGGAAAGAATAAGTACAAAATGTATAATCAAATTCAATAAATCTGTGCTATTCAATGGCAGTAACATTCACACTCTTTGTATTTCTTTTTGAAAAAGGATAGAATAAGTTTAATTAGATTGAAATAAGAATCTTCTTTTCGTAGAAATAAAATGGTAAATATATACTATGACAAAAAAAGTTTCTTCTCAAAAGTTTTATGAAATGTTTTGCAAATGCAATGAACATTTGACTTTAATATTTCACGTTAAAAAAGAAAACTGGTAAAGATAGGATACATACAAATTTTAAATGAAATATAAGGATCATCAGTTAAATTCCCCATATATGAATGTCTATGAACTTCTCTCTAATCTTTTTCAGGAAATAGATCTTGGTTTAGCAGCAGATCTTGGAACATTACAAAGGTTTCCAAAAGTGATAGGAAATGATAGTTATGCCAGAGAATTGGCTTTTACTGCACGAAAATTTTATGCTGATGAGGCCAAACAAATGGGATTTATCAGGTAATATTCACAACCCGCATGTTTCCTTACTGAATATAGAAGATCTGAAAGTGTGTGTTATTATGCAATAAAATCACTGTTGACATTCTATATTTACACAGGTGACGTAACCATTTGACATGCGACATAATTATTAAAAATGTGATGTGCTGAAAATAAGTACATAAACAAATGAGGCCCATTTTGGCTTTATATCTGGTACAGCAGCATTTATTTGTTGATGTTGTTTTAGAATTGAAATAATATATCCCATTCAATGATTTTATCCCATGTGATATAATTCTTGCATCCGGACTCCAGTGATTATTTTTAGCGATAATTCTTTGGGGGATATATTATTTCTTAAATAAGTAAAATACATTCTGATTATGATGGAATATCATGCAGTTTTGAATGTTGTTATGTGTGTTATTTAAAAGGATTTACTATTATAAGCATGTATAACAAAATACTTGAAGTAATAAAATAATAAAGCACATAACTTTATACAGAAGTTATTTTAGTGTGTCAATAAGCTTACAGCTTCCTTCACACTCTTGAATCTGTTCCTAGAACCAAGCAGTGCTAAGTAATAATAAATAAATAATAAGGAGAGAGAGCTCGACTTTTCTAAAAGGGGAGCTATCCTACTCGCCTACCGGCGTCGGCGTCGGCGTCGGCGTTAGCGTTGGCGTCACACCTTGGTTAAGTTTTTCGTACCACCCCACTTTATTTCAGAAGTATTACAAGTATGGCTTTGAAACTTACCATACTTGTTCACCATCATAACCTCCATCTACAGACAAGAGTACATAACTCTGTCAAGGTTTTTGACAGAATTATGGCCCTTTTTTGACTTAGAAAGTGTATTGAGCTTGGTTAAGTTTTTTGTACCACCTCACTTTATTTCAAAACCATTGGAGGTATTGCTTTGAAACTGACCATACTTGTTTACCATCACGACCTTCATCAACAGACAAGAGGACATAACTCTGTCAAGGTTTTTGACAGAATTATGCCCCTTTTTGACTTAGAAAATACATTGAATATGGGTAAAATCCACTTATTGCCTTAACCCTTTGAGATATTGCTTTGAAACTTTTAATGCTATTTCACATCATTACCCCCATCTGTACGCAAGAGAAGGTAACTCTGTCAAGGATTTGTTTTAAAAAATTAAGGCCTTTTATCGACTTAGAATCTTGGTTAAGTTTTTAGTACCAGTCCACTTTTTGACTGAACTGTTTGAGATATTAATTTGAAAGTTGGAATACTTGTTTATACTGCCCTCACACATACCTCGCGACCTTACTGCGTCCTTACTGCGACCTTGCTACAACCCAGGACGCAGCACAGTCGCCATGGACGCAGCAGGGACGCAGCGAGGTCGTAGCGAGGAACCCAAGGACGCACAAGGTCGCAGACCGTCGGCGACTATTTTGAACATGCACAAAACAGTCGCAGAAACTCTGCGTTCTTGCTGAGTCCTAGTTAGGTCGCCGTGGGATCTCAGTGGAGTCGCCATAGTCGCAGCAACATCGTAGTAAGGACGAAATAAGAACGCAATAGACGTAGTACACTCGTACTAAGGACGCCGTAGAGTCACCGATGAAATTACAAGAAATTGCTCGGAAACCTTTGGCGACGCTATTTCTACACACTGTGAACCACTACCAAACTGCATATCTGAAGCGGCGACTGGGTCAACTTGTAGCACTTTAGAGACCCTCGTTCTTTTGCCTCGTCCGCCTCTCATCTTTGGAATAATATGGATGATTTAACTTAATACTAATTAAATATACGTCTTCACTCGTTGAAGGTCAGAATGAACAGAATGAACAGAACTCAGAATGAAATTTACTGGTAAAAAGTATTGTTTTTATAGACGTAGCAAGAACGTAGTAGGGTCGTCGTACAGTCGCAGGACAGTCGCCGGACAAACGCAATAGTCGTCGGAGAGTCGCCGTAAGGACGCAGAGAACATAGCACCGTCGCAGCTGGGTCGCCGATGATCGCCGTGGGGTCGCCTTGGGGACGCAATACAGTCGCAGTGGAAACGCCATGGACGTAGAAGGGTCGTATTGAGGACATAGAGAAAACGTACTGAACACAAGACTGCAGAGCCCCGGACCGTCTGCGAGAGAAATTTGAAAGAAAACCAACGATTTTCGAAAGAAAAATGCTATTTTACTAGTTTTCAGGTCGTAGTAAGGTCGTGGTTTATGTGTGAGGGCACCTTTACCATCATGGTCCCAAAACATGGGCAGGAGAAGGTAATTCTGTTAAGGATTTTATTTGAATTATGGCCCTTTTTGACTTAGAAACTCAGTTAAGATTTTCATTCTTGTCCACTTGTTGACTTAACCATTTGAGATATTACTTTGGAAGTTGGAGTTCTTATGTGCCATCATGAGACCTATCTGTAAGCAAGAGAAGATAACTCTGTGAAAATGTTTCTTGATTTGTACTTAGAAATTCCTAGTTAAAGTCTTGTGTGCCCTTAACTGTCAAAGTTTTGTTTTATAGGCAAGCACTAAAAAAGTCGAGCGCGCTGTCCTTCTGACAGCTCTTGTTAGGTTTCTACTAAATCTATAACTTTATTTTTAAGTAATTTATAATGTAGATGAAAATGTTATTAATGAAATTTAGTTTTAATTTAACTAAAGTAAACAATAAGTGTAAAGTTTAAAATCTAGCTCAAGAAAAAAATGGCTAGCCATTTTTGGAGTTTGAACCCAAGGCTTTGAATCCTTAGATAACTCGTCCAACACATTAATGACTTGGCAGTGTAGTATGATGCACATCAAAATATTAATAATAGTTAATTATTTTAGGACACAGTTTATCCAACATGGAAGAAAAATGAGCCGTGTCATGACAAAACCAACATAATGGCTTTGCGACCAGCATGGATCCAGACCAGCCTGCGCATCCGCGCAGTCTGATCAGGATCCATGCTGTTCGCTTACAAACTCTATAACCAGTATTAAATCCAATAGCGAACAGCATGGATCCTGATCAGACTGCGCGGATGCGCAGGCTGGTCTGGATCCATACTGGTCGCAAAATCATTATGTTGGTTTTTTCATGACACGGCTCAAAAAGAGTTTTATTGAACTGATTCACGCATACTTTTCATGGTTTCGAAACCTTTGAAAAGAAATGCTGTTAAATGTTAAATAACTTTTACTTGATTATTGTACTTGAAAATGAAATATTTCATAGAAGTTAAAAAGGATTTTATTTTATAGCCGTATATTACCTGACAAGGACTCCTTACTTAGTGCTGCACTTGATACCGCAGCTCTCATAGCCAGTAAAAGTCCTATAGCTGTGCAGGGAACCAAAACAAGTATGGTGTACTCAAGGGACCATTCTGTTCAAGAGGGTTTGGCACATATTGTAAGTTTTAGACCATTCGCTTATAGTTTTAAGTTCTCTATATATCACCAAGGTTATGTTGTCAACTGATCTTCTTCTTTTCATCCAATTGCACTTTTTAATTTGCTATTTCATTTTATTGAAAGCAATGTGTAATAATTCAGCTTCGACATTGTTATGAAGTGGAGGACAGCAAAGTTCAAAGGTTATTATGAACCCAGTGATATGAAAAATCTGAAGGAAATCCAACATGAATGCAATGTTGATAAAATCAAACACATTTAATATTGTTAAGTTGCAATTAGGACTAGATTCTGTGTAGAAACTTACGCCATGCGGCCATGGGTTTTATATTCAGGCATGATTTGCATATTTTCCATATTAACTAAGACAAAGGTTTATATGGATAAATTTACCATTTATGTATATTCTTAAAAAAGGAAAATTATTACCTTGTATGATGTCATTAGGCCAAATTCTTTGATGTACTTCAAAATGTTTCTATTTATTCTAGTTCTGTGAGCAAGTTAGAATCAAAATAGAAATTTATATCTTCTTAGAATTGCACTATTAAATCAAGTTGAATATTAAGCAAGGGAGGCGAGAACAAAAAGAAAGTTTCATAAACTACATGTATTCATTATAGGATTCACCAGGAGCAGTTTCCTAAGCCCATCCAAATTAAATGTAAATTGTTCACCCAATATAAACTATTTACAATCAGAAATGTATTTTTGTATGTTATTATAACAAACCACATCTCTCAGGCTAAAAGTGCATATTAGCAACCTGAGAAGCGAAATAACATCGGTCAAGGATGTTATTTCAGTTCAAGGGTTGCTAATATGCACTTTTATCCTGAGAAAATGTTGGGTTTTTTTTATTATACGGAATCAACAATTCAGTGTCATTTTTCACTGCTATGCATCATTACTTTGAGAGCCAGTTTTCATCATTAGTTTCCATCAGGGGAGAGAATTAGAACAGAACGTTTTCTCAAGTCTATATAAATACATAGATTACATGCCCCTGGAGAATAATGCAAAAAATTATTGATGGGGTGATATTCATTTCCTGGATGATAAATCGAAATAACACCCTGCAACATCACATTAGGCTATATAATATTAAGTATTATGTGAGGTATGATAAATACTATTATTTCTTAGTACTGAGTATAACACAATTTATAATTGTAGGGAATCTGGAACCAGTCAATGTTACAAAGTACGGACATGACAGAGGCGGCAATGGCCCAGATGCAGAAAAAAGAAGCAAAATTCTCAAAACTGTGATAGGCAAACAAGTGAAACATTTTAATGTATGTTGGAGCTTACACTGGATCATTTAGAAATGCCGGTCAAAAATTTAAGAATGATTAAACCTTTGGGGTTACCACTCCAAAAATCCTCCAAATTTTGTTGTACTTTGGGGTATAACTTGGGTATAAATGCTGCCTTTGTGAAATTTTCCAGAAAATTTGGGTATTTACATGAAAAAAAAGGTTTTAAATTTTAATTAAATTTAAAATTTTTTACTGTATTAACAGTTGCTTTCTTTTGTTTTTTAACTTCACATGGCAAATCTATGTGAAAGCCAGTTTTTTTTAAAACAATGTATTTGATTACATATCTTTTTTTAAATATCATGCCCCAATGGATGAAAATTTAAATTTTTGTTAAATTTAAACATGATGGAAATATGGATGATGCAGTCCCGGGCACTACTAAAAAACTTGAAACATATAAAAATATAAAATAATCCTTTTAAAAATAAAAAAGCTAATTGGATTGAATGAAAATTTTTGTTATTTAAGTATTGGTTTAATATTTTTTGGGGTACCTTTGAAATATGGAAAAATGTGCAACCAAATTGAACAAGTAATTTTGACTATTTTGTTAAAAATTACTTTAATTTGCAGTTTTAATCCCTGAAGTAATCAGGCCATCATTTAACATGAAACCCCAAAATGTCGCCTAAGTTAGAAAGTATTCTTTTGTTTTGTTGAAATACTTTAACTATGTAAATATAACCTGTGTTGAAAAAGATCACTAATGTATTAAATACATTTTATTTGCATAATATTATCATGAGGCTATTGTATATCAACTATATTTCCCTTTCTCTGTAATACTATGTATGTATAAAGTGATGTTTACCCATTTTGTGTATATATTGACTTACTCTCATGTACAAATTCAAACTCAATCAAACTGAGTCTGCAATTTTCATTAAATTTGTTTCGATTAATGCTTTGGGTGAATCACCCTTTTCCCAGATTTGTGTTTACCTATGCCACTGGTATAAAGTCAGGCCAGACCACATACTTTATACAAGTCAGGCAGTCTGTTGTTGGTTGTTCAATATTAACTTCTTGATACTGAAACCCTTTACCATAAGAACTGACATAAATTCAAACTGACATAAATTCAATGCTGGGCAAGTTCATTTAACAAATGTATTTATATAAAGGTCAATCTTGTACAGAAATTACAATTATGTTGCTTGTATGCTACCGCAAGGGTTGTGTATAGTTATGGCATACTTACTGGTCTTTATGCTAAATTAGGAAACATGTTCTGGCAATTTATGTTGTCCTTGCTCAGGTCCATTGCCTGAAACTAATAAGTACTGTTATTCCACTTGCCCCTAATAGCTGTGGGTTAGAATCCTGACAGGGAATTTAGATTCTTAAATGTGAGGAAGCTATCCAGCAACTCTACAAACGTCTGTGGTTCTACTCAGGTGCCCATTCATGCCTAAATAATGCACAAAGGGTCACCTGAGGTCTTCCTACACCAGTAAAGCTGGAAAGTCGCCATGTTACCTATACGATGGTGGTTCAATGTAAGATAAACCGCTCATTGGAGAGTGATATGATGGTGTCACAAAAAACAATTCACTTTTAATGCTGAATGAAAATAGACTGGTGTCATAAACTCTTTTGTGATCACATACACAGGTTTGACTGTCATAAAATAGTTCTGTTTGGTTGTTGTTGTTTTTTGTCAGATTTTTATGCTTGACAAATCAGACTTAATGTTTGCTTGCAACACAACTTGAAGGGAATGTATGCTTATTTTGTCATTAACTGTCACTTAGTGTGCAAAAACCAGAAGTGCTATTTTAGGATTATTTAAGTGGTTAACTTTGCAGTTATTTACTTTTTGTGTTCTGCAAGTACAAAGTTCGTTTATTTTGTGAAACTTTGAAATTATTCTGAAGTAATTGGTGACTCTCGTGATTTAAACTTCCTTTTAACAATGTCAATGAGCTTGGTTTTTAATGCTTAAATCTAATCTTTTTTTAAGAAAGTGAAAACATAGAAAAAATTATTTGTCTTCCTACAGTTTCAAATAATCCTGGTACATGTACTAAATATACAACAGTCCAGACTTCCCGCTAAATCTAGACCCAAAGTATTCTCTAGAACAAGCATAAAAGTGAATAAGCATAAGGATGGCACTACTGCATGTTTTCTTTTCTTTGTTACCATAATATTATGAGCCGCGTCAGGACAAAACCAACGTAATGCGTTTGCGACCAGCATGGATCCAGACCAGCCTGCCGCGCAGTCTGATCAGGATCCATGCTGTTCGCTTACAAACACTATTACAAGTAAAGAAACTGGTAGCGAAGAGCTTGGATCCTGATCAGACTGCGCGGATGCGCAGGCCGGTCTGGATCCATGCTGGTCGCAAACGCATTACGTTGGTTTTGTGGTGACGCGGCTCATATATAGTCGTTATATAAGAGTTTTTTGCATCTAACAATCATAGATCTTCATCAAATTTGGTTCCTTGTCAACCTTATTTTTGTTGATTGAGTAATAACATAGAGTAATTGAACCGTCGTCTGTACGTACCTAAGTTCTACTTGTATGACCTCCCAGCTCCCCCGGACATAGAGTAATTGAACCGTCTGCCAGAAACATGTTACCCTTAACTAAGTTCTTCTTGTACGACACCACCTCCCGGACATAAAGTAATTAAACATAATTAAGTTCTACATATACGAATATAAAGTTCGTGAGCTTGGCAAGGTACATTGCAGACACTTCTGCAAGATCGTTATGCATAACATCATTTTCAAATTTCACCAGAACTTTTTTGTCCACTTTCTGCACATAATAAAATCATTTATCTATTACGTATGATAGGTTAATTCAACGTAAATGATTATGTATGAATTCAAATTCATGACCTTTAAACGAAAAGAACTTAAGCGTAGTAATTGTTACACTAAAACATACTAGTATGTGGAAAGTAAAATGCTCCATTCTCACTTCAGAGAGATCGCGCTACATTGTCTTGCGTCAGAATAGGACATGGAAATTTGCGTCAAGTTATTTAATTAATGCTCGTTATGAAATGCTTATAAATGTAAGAATTCTTGTTGAAAAGCATTTTGATTCTTTTACAGTATTACACTAATTTTCATATTAAATAACACCAGTGAATGAGGTGAATACATGTACATGTATATACACATTCGTGATAATTGCTGTGATAAAGTAATCGTTTGATGTCATATAATTTTGTATGTGTGTTTTTACTGTCATATTTTATTTCTTTTAGACTATTTCCTTTTTTGGTTAAGTGACTACATTAAAATTCACATGCAACACGTATCTAGCGTCAATTTTCAACGATAACGACTCCCTGATAATAATAAAAACAAATCATAGGTGTTGCGTTTGAAGTGCATTTCAGCGTATTATTAATGAGCGTTTTTTTTGTGCAGTGCTATAAAATAAATGGAAAACCTTGTTTTGTTTTTATTTGCATTGGATTTCTACTTACTAGCTGGATTGTTGTGTGAAATACACAAATGTTGCAAACTAAACAACTTACTGACTGAATTCCCGATACGTAGTACTGTCGAACGCTCTCTCTCTCTCTCCCTATCGCTGTATTATAGAAGACGTACGTGTGCTAACTCACGTTCACCAGTTTTGATTGTTTATTACTAAAATCAATTAGATTCAACCTATAGTATGGGGAATTCACAGCGTATACTAAGAAGCAGACGAACAAAGCGTTATATTCCCATATTTTTTAGACAGCTTAATTTATCTTCTTTGCGTACGTGACATTTGCACAGTTTCACATGATGCATCTTAAAATAATCTAATGATAAAATTATAATAGTAAGAAAAACAATGTACACGTATATAGCGGTATGTGGTCTGTAGATGATAAATAAATGTCATGAGCCACTAGCCATTTATCACGTAAATATAACGCGTTGACCTGGCTTGTTTTTATTACGTATTTTATTTTATTTACAAGTAATATTAATAGATCTATACGTTAGGACTACTGTAGTTTCGAATCATGTACGAAGAAGTTCCACTTCATTTGGACCTTTTTGTCTTCCTGAATCTTTTAAGAGAAAATAGGTTTTGGATAATTCATTGCCGAATGTCTGATATTCTTTATTGATTTTGCACGTGTTGTGTTCGATTTATGCTATTTTTGGTCCTAAATAATTGTTCATATTGCACTTTTCCCATCATGTTTCATTGTTTATACAGGCATGAGTTCATGGAGTTCACATATACAATAATTAGAGGCGATTCGCACATTGCCCATATTCACTTATCTGGGCATAGACCACTTAATCGTACTCTCACGTGCACTCCATTTCCATCTCACGTTGAACAAAGACAAGAAAACACAGAACGGATACATGTACGGTATTTCCGTCTAACCTTCGCCAAGAAACTAATATATCGAGTAAAAGTCCACCTAAATTAAGTAAATTTAAAAGAAAACAGTACATTATTTATGTATGTAGAAATCGTAACCTATTGACATCAATTCGGATTTTATGTCGCTGTACACCAGTTGGCATTTTTAAATTGATTAAAATGGTCAAACATAATTGAAATCATAGTTTTACCGAAATAGACACTATTTTCCTTTGAATGTCAAGATTATACATTCGTTTTACATTATTTCTCTAATATACTTACATCCTCTGTTTTTGTTAACATCAAAACCCACGTGGTAGAACTTTAACTCCGAGATAATTATGAATAATCGTCGAGGTGTTCCGATTAGTCATGCTAATTTAAAGCTGCTAAAATAATGAAATGAGACCCAGACCTCGATTTAAATTATAATAAATTGTTTACTGTTATTAAACATGTACATGTATATACTATTACTACACATGTATGTATTTTAAACGCAAATCATCTTCACAAATAAAATTGTTCGCTCCTATTTTTTTTGCGGTAAACCAAATACACAAAAATAACACTGCAGATCTACGTTCTTTATCAAAGCATGT